ATTAACACCTATAGGCCTTGTACAAAGGATATTAGAAAACTACTAAGCTAGCTACAGGGGAGAGGTGCGACTAAATACATAAGGGAATAGGGGTAACAGCAGGGGTCAGGGCCAGGTCGGGGTCGGGGCTGATACGGGGGCCTTTCGAGCCATCTGAGATGGAACGATTCATGAGGATCGTTACAGAGCTCTGTACCACTGCGCTAATACAACTAAAAAGGTGCGAATAATTAACCAACAGTTAATTATTGCGTACAGAATAGTATTACTACCTACCTTAGCAGAGGCAAGTAAGAAAGAAAAGTAAAATATAAAAGTTTCTTTTTAAAAAGATCTTTTATTAAAGTTAACTTAGTTACACTAGTACTAGACAGTGTATAGGCTGTTACTAGATAGCCTATAGGCTCTACTAGATTATAGTTGCTTCAAGCTACAGCTCTACTGCACAGAGATTTATATAATATTAGATAATAAACCTTACCTAATTAAGTCTAGTTGCATGTACAGCATTACTACTTAGTAGCTATTATATATGCCTTTATATATTCTAGTAAAGTAATGCCTTATAGTTCTTACTAAGTTTACTAGCTTATATAACTTTCTATACTATACAGCTTTTAAAACTTTATAGAGACTTTATAAACTATTAGTAATGCTGTTTAGCTTAATAGATGCTCTAGCAACTTTTTAAAGGGCTATTAGAACAGCTTTAAATAAATACCTTAACATATTTATACTAGCATACTTAGACAACATCCTTGTTTACACCTTAGGAACAAGAGAGGACTACATTATTAAAGTAAAATTAGTGCTAGACAAACTATAGTAATATAGACTCTAACTATAGCTTAGTAAATGTAAGTTTAATATCTAGAAAACTAATTACCTTAGATTTATTATTAATAGAAAGGAAGTAAAGATTAACTTAAAAAAAATAAAATGTGTTATAAACTAGCTAAAGCCTATAAATACAAAAGGTGTAAGAGAATTTCTAGAATTATTAGGCTATGTTTAATAGCTAGTAAAAGACTACTTAAAAATAGCCTTACTACTTATAAAAGCCTAAAGTGTAAGCTATATTTAATATTCTTTTAGCATATCTAAGTAGTGTTATTAGGAATGCATTAGTATAAAAAAAGTAGTTTAGTAGGGTCTTAGTAAAAGTAAGCAACTTAAGTATATAAGCAACTCAACTATAAAGTACGTTAAAGCCTATGTAAGGCCGGATGTCCTAGAACGGGCTAGTATGGCCTTACCTGACCTGTTTGGAGGTCACATGACCTGTGCTTTGTATATAAGCATGAATCCTAACAAGCGAGGCATGGCAGCGATTCGTCTCTCTTACAATACACTCCTATCTTTCTCCGAAAACTTGCTCTCAGTGCTATCTGTGCTATCTACTATCCCATCTTTACAGCCTATTACAATCTAGATACATAATCTGTCTTAGCACTATGTAATAAAGCAGCTCTGTTTTAGCTAAAGCAACAGAGTAACTTCAAGTATATACTCTATATTAATCACAACTAGAGTAATTTATAGTTAGTTAATTAATTATCTTTCCCTAATGCTTACTTTGTAATAGCTAGTATTAGATATTACTTATCTATTGCCTCTACTACTCTCTACTACCCCCTCTTAGTAATTAGTAGTTACTTTCTCTTTGTACCTTTATCGAAGACTACTCCTATAGCCTATTAGTTCAGCCCTCTGAGCTTGACATAGCAACAGCGTACGGCAGCATCTTAGCCCTAGGCATCAACGCCCTGTAACAGTATTCTAATACGTTGTTAAACTGCGTGACTAGAAAGGCAGAGAAAGTTGCCAGGGTGGACGTCTCGCTTGTAAAGTACGTTAAAGTAGAGATGCCATAATTTGAAGGAATAATGTTCTGATGATTGAAAGATTCATAAACGAATGCTATGCTGCAATGCGCAACGCAAGTGAAGACTCCACAAATGCAACACCATCCATGCTAGAAACGAGTGCGCTATGCTATGCTCCGCATCAAACCCAATAAGACGCCAGAAAAAGTGCGTACCTATCCCATGTTTGTGTACATTCATTCCATCACGCTTCCTACTATGTTAGAGTTTCTACCCTTCCTACAAACCCCAACCAACTCGTCTCTAGACATAACCTTCTCAAGCCCTAAATCCACTCTATCCACGCAAAACCCAATCTTCTGTTCCTCTGCTATACGTGCAAAAGCCCCCATGCACCAATTCATTCTCTCTTCGTCCCCATTTCGTGTGTAGTACGCTGTTACGACGAGAAGTGGGAGAAAGATGTTTTCCGCCGCAGCAAAAGACGTGTTCGATGCGCAAAATTGCACGGAGCGGCAGATCAAAGATGCGAGTTCGGAGATCGTTTGGGTAGGAGGTGGAGAGTGTTGTGCTGCAGCGGAGATGGCAGAAAGTGAGAGGTGCGAAATAAGACGGTGGCGGCATTCAAGAAGAAGCAAGAAGGATGTCCAATGGAGGTTGTACAGCAGACAGACTTCGATGGAAAGGAATTGAAGCGGGAATGGAACGACGTCTGGTCCGGTTTGCGCCTGCGGGAGCGTCCAAGGCCCGGGAATCTTGGTCTTTAGGGTGTCTTCCCATGGACGCAGGGACGTTTCTAGTGCGGTAATGTCGTCTAAGATGGCTGAGATGGCGGAGGGAGGTATTGGGGTGCCAGAGTCGGCCGCGCGAGAGACATTGTCGGTAGTTGCGAGGATGTTGGGAAGTGGAATGATGAGTTCGCACCACTTGAAGTACAGGTCGTTTGAGTAGGAGCGAGGCGTGGCATAAAGTTGGCGGATCAGAGGGCGGTATGAAGGGTCTGAGAAATGGTATGCGCGGCGACTAGTTATGGCTTCGAAGAGCTGGTGTAGATCCCTTTTGTCAGTATGACCTTACTTGAGAAGTGATGGGCATCCCCTTACTAACCCCCTGATTGAGAACATAGAGATGCAACTCCTCGAATGTAGTTGGTTCCTTGAAGCCTTCTCTAAGTAGCTTCGTTGCCCCTTCAATGTGAGTAAGCTGACTTGCTCCGCCACCGTTAGACATGAATATTTCTGTAGAGCTCATCACCAACGTGGTAGCGAGTAGATCTTTTCGGAGTGTAGCACTCGGCTCGGGTAATACTTCTTGTACCATGCGGAGGGCCTCGAGATACATGGTCCTACTCTGATCGACAAGATTCTCGTCTTGGTATTGCGTCCCCACGAAGCAGGTTGCCAGTGCACCAATCGCAGTGTCTAAAATAGGAGAGAGTCCAACCCAGAGTGGGAGCAGAGATCGCCAGGATCCTGTCTCAGTACCCTCCTGGAGGGTATCTGGGAAGGGTTTGTTTGGATACGATCGTCTGTAGTATAAATCAAGAAAAAGCTGGGTAATGGCAAGGAGGTTGGTGGGGTCAGGGTTCGGATGATTTGTAAGAGTTTGCGCCGGCGCCATTGAGGGTGTAAGGTCGCTTGAGCAAAAAGAGAGGGAAGTTGGTGGTCGTGGTGGGATTTGAGATTGCTGGGAACCACTTGGTTGTGAGTCTAAGTCCAGCACAAGGAACTTTTGCGCATTTTGCGATCGCCACGCCGGTGGAGGTCCTGTTGATGTTACGTTGATGAAGATTGAGCCTACGTCGTATCCTCCGCATGGCTTGTTCCCTGCGATGCACCCACTGCATCGAGGTCTTTTCTTATCACACTACATGCAGTCAGTATGAGTAATGAGAATAGATTCATATTCAGCTCCATTGCACTCGCTCTTCGCAAGCTTGCTAGCTATATAGGGCGGATTCTGGTGGCAAATGTGGAATTGTAGGCCCCCTTACCTCGACTCGGCGTTCCCGACATGATTTGCAGCCGCCAATCCTCGATGGAGGGGAGATCATGGTAGAGTAGGTTAAGCTAGTGATACCGTTGGTCGGTGGCGCGACTCAATCCAGATTTTACCCGATGACCCGAAGATGCGAATTCTCGAAGGAAGCCTTGAGGTGTGACACTTTTGTGCCTTGATAGGGATAAATCGTTTCGCGGGATGCTATTCAGGTGGTAGTCTTGTGATATGGATAGTGCAGCAGGAGAAGTAGGGTCTGCGTCCGAATTGGACGGTTCCGAGAAAGTTGGAGGGTGGAAAAGAAAGCACGTGAAAGACTGTTGTGGAGAGCAAAACTTGCAGAACGACAGGAGATATACAAATTTGATACGGAAAATTGCCGTCGCATTGAATCATAGTATTGATAGATAAAGATAGAAGGACTCCAGCTCCGTCCCAAGCACCAGTTCCTTGGATACTCAGATCGAAGCTTAATGAAGCGATCCCTACTGCAAGAGGCATAAGGCTTGCCTGAAGTGTTCTAGAAAAATAAGGATAGCACTCCTATTGGTCTGAGCACAGTTCTTTGTAACGCCCGATACCGCGTGCCGATGTGGTGGTGTCGAAAACAGTCAAGGCCTTCTGTTCATGCTCTCCTCAGGCAGCCAGATTGTCGAACAACAATTGCTTGTGCCTCGTCGGCTCTTCGTGAGAAAATGCCCTCTTTTGTGGACTTCTGCTGATAATATTAGCTTCACCCTGGATCCACGTAGGAGCAGCCACCAGGATGAGACGCGAAGCCTCAACTGCCTCATTTCTCGTGACCACCGGGGCCAGTGAATGGGTCATAGCATTGGAGTCTCCCAGTCTGATTCGAGGGCTTGTCCGCCGAGGCCAGCCCGATTCGCAAAGCGAGTCTCGAACGGTTTGCAACAAGACACGGAGGCAACAGCATTAGCGACCGACGGGCAGCCCTACGAGGCTTGAGGGCGGCTGAGCAGCCGCGCAACTGTTTCCGCAGGTTGAGGCCTCGGGATGTACCTATTCAAAGAGTGAGCGAGTGAGCGGAGAGGGCTCGAAGGGAGATTCCGCGCTGGGGGAATTGACGTCTGACTAAGACCTGAAGCACGTGAGTCGATCCCGGACGGCTTGGTGCTCATAGGGGCAAATGCACTCCAGATCAAGACTGTATCCCAACCGCAATTCACTACTTTTCGCTCTTATCGCTTTGCAAGAGGCGTCCAGCGCTCAGTGCAACTCGAACACTTACCACCGCCGGGTGATCGCTCTCAGCTCCATGATTAGAAGGCTTGTGGTAGACGTTGTGGCCAATCACAGGGCAGGAAAAAAGATGGCTGAGCGGCTCAACACGTGCTGACGACTCTATGATTAGGCATCTTGTCTCACCACTGCTGAATAGGCGTCCACCGCACACTCAACAACGACATGCTATCCCCTCTTCAACTATGCACTCAACACCCAGAAATCCTGGACGGGACCCGGAGTGTACTGCACCCCCAATCTTGGAATGGCCACAGCCACCTCACCACTTCTGGCCCTACCTGCAGAACTGAGAAACCGTATCTATGACTTCTACTTCTCTCACGATCCAACCATTCCGCCCCCACCTATATTGAGATCTCCCCTTGCGCTGTCTCTCGCGTGCCGCCAGTTGCATAATGAGACTTATTCCCTCGCCTTCGCTTCCACTACGTTCCGGACCAACCGTTGGCAATGTCGTGAGCTGTCAGCCAAAATTTCAAGCATTCGATCGATATTCCGGCCCTCCATCAAGAGGCTAGAGATCACAGTCGGTATTGCCGACTTTCTCATCCACCCCCACTCTCTTGATGGCCTGATGTTAAGTCAAGCTGGACTGAGTGGTCTCGAGCATCTATATATCACCTTCACTGGGGAGCCTAAATCTGAGAAGAGGGAGACTTATATTATCTCAAACCTGGAAAATCTGCTGTGGGCCACAGTGGCGAAATGCAGAAATGAGCATCTAAGCAAGATACGGATTGTTCATGGTGGCCTGCTCCGTTGGCATGGCATTTGCGAGCTTTTTGATCGGATGCGGAGGAGGCTCCCGCTTCGGTTTTATTATGATGGAGTGTGGGACATCCAGCCAGACTTCAAGGAAGGAAGATTTCGCTTGATCAACCAAGACACGAATGGCGCTTATAAGAGAGAGGTTTTGGTTTTGATGGGTCACACGGCCCGAGAGGCGGAAATGTTCCGGACCATACAACAAGATTTACTCGAGGTAAGCAGTCATTGGTAGAATCCGGGAGGCAACTTGAATCATTCCAATACCCATTCGAAAACTGTCACCAACATTCCCATCACGAAACTAGAATGCTTTTACCTTGGAGCATCGTGCCGGGCAAGGAGGCTAGCGTGCTGGCCTCTTCGTCAAGAACAACTCCTACTTAGAGTTTCAGGTTCTATCTTGTGGCTCTTTCACTAATAATCGAGCATAGGGCAAAGTTCTCAAGCACGTCTGCGCACGGCGATCCGATCGTATAGATCCTGCAGATATGGACAACGACATACTCGCAAACGAAATTGACCAGCTTTCTCGTGTTTTCCGAATGGATAACAGGATCGATACCGAAGGCTACTACTAAGTTCATTCAGCGGAGAAGGAAAGATTCTGAGACGACGTTTTCATTCACATGAATAATCTACCCTTCCAAGCTTCTCTCCACCGAGTCGCTCGATCATCCATGCCAAGTTCTCTCACGTTCATTCTTCGCCTTGAGGTCAGCAGCACGAGTGACGAGATCTTGTCTCTTGTCTCTTGTCGTCATTGACGTTCTGCTTCCTTATCTGTTTTGCTTTCATCTTTAGTAGCGGGGTCACTGCAAAGCCTCCGGTCTCACACTGCTCCACATCGACATTTATCATTGCTACTGTCCATAATTAGCGGGCGTTACTATTCTGCACTCGTTAGACTCGACGAGGCAGTAGCAGGTTATGAATCAAACATTTCTTCAAACTTATTTATTGTGGTTTATAACATTATCATCAGCGGGTTGTATCTGCTTAGTTACTGCTCTTTCTGAACTGTTCAGACGTCGATTTAGCTCAAATCTTTAAATATCGCGACAAGGGGTGGGGGGCTTGAGGTCAAACATTGACACGGAGGGAGTGGACTAATGGTTTGATGTAGCTACGGTAACAAAGTTCAACAGCTTCTGGTTTCATAAGCTTAGCGTGCACTGAGGAAACCTTTGAGCTCTTTCAAGCAAGTCTCAGCGTTTTCTTCCATGACCACGACGGGCACTGGTATTCAAATTGAGCCCATTCGTTCCTATAGTCTACGCCGCATGGGACCAACTGGGCACGTACAAAGAAGTCCGACTTCGAACGCATTTGTTGTTGCGTTGCAGGGGATCGAAAAAGATAAGGAATAAGGAGGGCATTAGGTTCACTGAAGGTCACTTCACTTCTCTCAGTGTGTAGGGCATAGATCCAAGTCAAAATTTTCTTGGCTAGCCAGACTCCCTTCGTTCTTCCACCCCTTCATCTGCTCCTGTTCTCTCCCTCTAAACAATTGACTCATGTCCATAGGACACAGACCGTGAGGCACACTTACGGATACTTTCTTTGCCGCAATGAATGTCGAGTGAATGCCTCCTCGACTCAACGGTCCATCAAATGAGATCGGCCTTCACGACCCTTCTGGCCACAGACATCCTTGACACAGTAGCGCATGCTGAGCGGGCTCTTTTCTGTGCCGTCCTCGCCGCAATATGTCCTCGAGCCATTATCGTCACACTCTTGCGTTAAAGCAGACTGGAGCCTACGTTTGAGGGCTGCTAGGTGTTACAAACTCAGCTCTTGGCGTTCCCCCACTCTGCGGATATTGGGGTGCCCCATTAAATTGACACAGTGGGGGTAGTTGAATTCACTGTGTTTGTGGAGGCTGCGCACATTTTACTTGGACTGGCTATTGATTCTCTAGTTCTGAAACGGCCACTATTCACGCCTACTCCTATACAAGCGCCGGGAAGAGGGGCCCCTACTGCAACATCATCACAATATACAGGCTGCAAGCCATCTAGCACCAACTAGGCCACGGAATCAGAACCTTGACGCCTCACCCGTTTCATCGTCAACACAACGCTCTCTTCATTGCTGCAAGGCAGACTTGCGTTTGGGTACCCGTGGCCTTTCCGTTATCCTGCATTGAGGCTGCAGACACCCAAACAGAGCCGATTCTGCAACCACGTTAGGAGTCGGTATTTCCTGTCCTACGAAATGTCGTTTCAGAACCCTTCGGAAATATATCCTCCGGAAATTGTTAGAGAAGCTGTGAGGCTGCTCCCCAAATAGGCCTTGGGTGACTGTGATAGATAAGCTGACTCCGCGATTGTGGGGAATCCCATTTCGGTTTGTTCAAGTCCGTTAGAAGTTGCTTCTCTAGTTTACAGTTCTTTTGCTAGTTCAAGAATAAGAGGGTTCTTCAGCGTGCTGAATGCACACCTTCGAAGCTATGATGTACGATCAACTAGAGACCTTGGTTATGGACAATCCTTCGACTAGTCCAGGCTTCTAGATCGTACAAGCTCGTCTTCGAATCCGCCACAACGGGTGCCGCTAAGCCATAGAGGTGCATCGAGACGTGTTGGACTTAAATGATCAGTCTCTGACGCACAACGAAGAGAAGCTGCAAGTCGCCACTGTTAGTATTGCATCATAGAACCTATGTAACCTCTTCCACGACAACCCAATTCGTCATATTCCGTCCTCGATACCGTAAAAATCCTCGTTTGTCACTCCCAGATTGATCCCTAGCTTAGACACATCCACCAGCGCTGCATGTGTGCACGACCCAGCCACAAAGTCCGAAGCCGCGAGAATCTCAAGGATAGACGCAATCGCCATATGTTCACCAAACAATCCCTAAATGTCAAGCGTGACGTCCATGTGAATTCTGAAACGAAGCTCTGTGCATTCTTGATATTCTGGTTTGCTTCGCCACCTCCATCTATTTCATTGTAGGTATTGTTAGAACAGTCAAGCTTCATCTAACCGTCCTGTACCTGCATCGCCCCACTAGGAGCCCTTCGGGAACAATCTCATGGCTAGCAAGCATACGATACGTGAACGTCTCTGGTATCGGGCATTATGATTTAGATTTTACCAACTTACCCGCCGTGACCGAATGGCAGGGCTAGGGGTCCTTTGGCATTTACAGCTGTTAGGGTTGATTTAGCAAAGGCTGGGATGGCAAACTCATCCACCGAGTGCAGCCTTATACTCAACCGATCTCCTGTTGAACCGAGAACGAATCCTTTGGCGCCCAGTAGACTAATGTGTGTAATCGAGCTCTTACTCGAGCTTCACGCTCCAAGGCCCATAATCGGATGCCCTAAGAAGCACCGAGCAGTAGGATCCAAGACACTGCCACGCGGATGATCATGTTCCGTGCCCGCGGCCTCAGGAAATAGTGACAGGAAAGCTTCGCGCAAGATCTGAGCACTCAATAAACGTGAGACACCTTGGCATTGCTTCCTGTGAGGATAGATTAAGCAATTATCGATTTTGTGTTTGTAGGGCCGAACGTGACTGTCTTAGCTCGCAGGCGGACCGTACGATACCATTCGCGCATGCTTCGCCTCTCGCACCTAAATGAGCAGGTATTGTAGGCTGGAATAAGTATGGGATGACATCGGTGTCAGGCAGTCAACGGTTTCGGGAAAAGTTTCTTTGAGCCTTCTAAAGTGTTACTTGTTTTCGAGGAAGAAATGAGCAGGAGCAGTCGAACGGTAAAATCGTCAGACCATTTTCGAAAGAGAGAGCCAAGGGCCAATCGCAAAGTCTCCGAAAACGAGGGCTGGAGCGTGAACACTTTGTTCCTGCTTCGAGTATGCATCTGGGAGGTATGTTTAGTTGCCGACAACAGCCGGCGATAGTGCCTCAGACTGGTCATGTTCATATTGCCTTGTACCTAACATACCTACGGAGCTTGCATTCGGAGTTGGCGATGGCTTTCAAGTCGAATCGAGTCGACCTAAGGCAATTCAATCAGGAAATACAATGGGGGCCTAACAACGTTTTGGCATCACCATTATCGTTTCATCACCCCACCGTTCTAATTAGTCGGTACTGTTATCAATCCCCAGATTCACCGCATTTATTTTTGAAGAAGATCACTGGCCAATCCTCCAGCAAGTTCTCCACAATAGTACGATCATGAAACGCATTTCCCAGGCTCAGCAGCGGCTCCACTCCCTCGCATCCAGGATGCACCCCTTCTCAATTGCCTGCAGCACGTGGACTGGAAAGGGAAGCTGGCAAGTTTAGTCCCATCATCCTAGCAAAAGCTCGACAACGAACCCCCGCCCCAAAGGGTCGAGGGGCCAGGGGTGGGAAGGATCTCACAAGGGAGCCAAGATTTACCGGCCGGGTGGCTGATACATTGGGACCTGATTCCTCATCGCAGAGCAGAGCGCGAGGCTTTGGGATTCTGGGGCGAGACTGATGTGCCTCACTCAGCTTAATTGTAATGTCTCTGAATCGTAATGTGGATCACATGCGCTCTCGTGACCTTTTGCCTTTGGTCTTCGTGTGCGCAATATGCAGGAGCTACATACTGTCCAGCCTCTTCGCGAGACGCTGGGGCGGGGACGAAGGCTTCTGAGCCACTTCTATCCACATCTCTGATTCAAACGAATAAGTGCCCGAAACGGCCGTATTAGCGGCCATTTTGAATGCACCCTTCTGGCGTTTGAGGTGCTTCGTATGCGAACTCTTTACGCCAAACTCGCCGTTCAACCAATCACAGAAGTGCCGCGAAGGGACCGGCCCGAGGCATCTGATCCTCCTTGCAGCACTGTGCCACCCTCTCACCTCCAAAACCTGTTCACTTAACGTCCAAGTTTACTGTTGAAGGGTCCAGCAGGTATCGCATGACGAAACAGCGCCGGTACGGCACGGTGTATGCGCTTCCAGCCATCCGTGGACGGTGAAGCGGAACGAACGGAGCAGAACTTGAAGCTTTGCTCGCCACATCGCTAGTACTATGATACCAACACTCTCTTCATACATGGTCGCGTACATGACGCTTCACATACACGGACTGTATTGAGTGAACCACCTCTTCGGTTCTTGCAGGCGTACATTCATTGCTTAGCAGGCGTTGAGTGCCATGTGCAGGCAGGCAGGCTCATGGCAAATTTCCCATCACGATGACCCAAGAACCACATTCAGCAATTAAGCCCACTGGCGACTGCTCACGACGTGCATTTTGGGAGAATGGGAACGGGAATTAAAATGTCGTCAGATTCAACGCTGACCAACACAGCCCTACGCACTCCCAAAAGACATGACCATCTCCCCACCGAATCACCACCTCCCCCGATCCATCTAACCCTTTCCAGATTAACGCACATCTGTTCTTCTTCCCTTTACTTTTCACAATGCGCAGCCAATCCGCAGCTTGTCCCCACAAGGTATTGCATGGACTCTTCTCAGGGACGTGCGAGCTTCCCACCAACACCGATCCCGGAACATTTCCAATCAAGACCCCTTGGTTCCCGCCAAAGGATTCAGGCTATCTCGCCCGGTGTCTGTGCGTGACCTGGACAAGGGTCGAGAGCGGACCGCTCTCTGCCGCGGGTTCCCAGCGCTTTGGGCGTTTGTCAGATCCTTGCGAGCGGCGCAGGGAGGATGGTTGTTGAACGATCGAGGCTTGGCGAGCTGGGAATTCGAGGGCATGATGGCGGCTGGTGCCGTCGAGGGATGGGAAGGATTTGGGAGGATTTGAGTTGGAGATAGCGAGCATGAGGAGCAGGGCGACGGGAGGTTTTTTGGGGCTCTCTGGAATCAGCAATGTTTTGGACAGTCGACTTGTGGGCAATTTGGAAATTGAAGCATAATGCAGCAAAGTAGTTGATCCAAGTTTGACTAACGTAAGTTGCTGATCTATCAAAATTATTTTTTGAGATGATAACTGATGATTGTTTACCCTTATTTACGTAAGTGGGCCGCTATGGGTGAGAGCAATAGCTGAATCTCTGAAGCCATTCAAGTCAGAGATAAGGAAACTCTCAGATTTCTCGTCTTTCCCATGCACATATCGATACGGGAGAAGCTCAAGCTTGGGAATGTTGAAACATATTCAGCTATTGCTTGCCATAATATCTAAAAACTATCGTGTTGGTATAGTTATATGAGAAAGGATTTGAAAACTAAATCGCGATAACGATGGAAGAACGGCAACAAACGAATATGAAAACAGGAATACTACAATTACGGGTTGTTGAAGAGAGAAGGAAGAGAGTTTGTACCCGAGAAACTATTGTTACATTGCCTTGGACTTAATATGCCCACCGCTAGCAATATTCCGTGAAATATGAAATGGAAACCCAAACTGAACCACCCATATGAATGCCCTCGTAAATCATATACAAAATCGAAGAAAGCTATGAAGTAACACGAAAGAAAAACGAAAAAGTGCATATCAACTCAAAATACCGGGCTTAGACTTTTTACACTCTTCCTGAGAAGCTCCAACCGATTTCGGATGCCGAGGCCAAATTTCGTATTGAGCTCCTCCTCTTTAATTAGCTCAATGCAATACGTCAGCATATCAACTGGCGAAGAAGTTAAGGAAAACCAAACTCCATTTCGAAGAGAAAGCATGGGCGTTCCTTGCCCAAAGCTGAGATATCGTACAAGAGTCTCGTCGTGGGGTGATACGGAATCGATTGCGAATACGGGGCCCGAGAATTGCGTCACCGTAGCGTGCGTAGATCTGATCGGTGGCTTTGCGATGCTTGTGCTCCAAAGGAGTAAGCATACACGGTAGACGACGGCCGGGATCCACAGAGGCCGGTGAGACCCAGGAAGGAGACGAATAAGGCGAACAATCTGACCACAGTGATTCCAGATGCGTTGGGCGCTGCCAAGCGCTTGAGTGCGTGCCCAGGTGGTGGCCATGAACTGCTCTCGTGTACCTTCGCCACGGGCGAGGCTTTCGACCTCGGGGATGTTCGTCATCGATTTTAGAGAGATCAGATGAAAAATGATGAAATTAGATAAAAGGACCGGGCAGATTTGCCCCTCGGCTTGCATCCGTCTGCAGGCTAGCGTATACCAGCCGCCGAGTATCTCCTGGACTTCTCGCATATGGGCGAGATGATTTTCTGGAAGATCGATAGTGGAAGAAGCAATTCTTTGGTGTATCTCATGGACGAGTGCTTGAAGAGGATGGAGAAGAAGACGGAGTTGAAATCGCGTTGGTCCTCGGGGATCATTAACAAGGGTATGGCTCATAAGACGTTTGAAAAGATCTTGGAGAGAAGGAGGTGTGTTTGTCCTGCTGGGGTTTGCAGAGGACCAGGCATCAGCTGAAGTGGCCTGCCAGAGGCTTTCTTGATCAGGCAGTGCAGCAGTGAGTTCGGTGGTGCAGAAGGTGGGAGCCTTATCGTAGAACAGACTGAGCTCCTGGTCGGCAATGACCCAGGAATACACGAGCCTAAAGCCAGATCAGCGTTTGAGCAATGAAACAAAGCACATTGCCTCTGACTCACCTGTTGAGAGCCTCATGATCCCGCCACTTCTGCCAGCTAATTTCGGGGCCTAACTCGGGGAACGACTTTTCACGGTACGCAAGGAACCCGGATCGTCGGACCATCTATATTTGGTTAGGCGTGACCTATCAATTGAAAAATGGCTCTAATGCACAACTAACCTGGAAATACGAAGTTGATTGGCTCAGAGCAGCCTAATCCAAGTTAGCACCGGGCATTAAGGAGGAAACGAGATCCTGAAGCAGCTTCTTAGATCCAACACGGATGGAAAGACTTACGCCAGTGTGCCATTTCTCGTCCGTCCACAACGCGATATTCATATAGAGCAGCGCAGTCCTAAGGGTCACCGGTTGTCTCCAGAGAGACACGTCTTTGGCTGTGAAGTCATCAAGGAGGATGCGAACTGGCTCAATCAAGATATTGGTAAAGAGAGAAGTCGGGGTAGCAGAGGCCCCAGCCGCAACAATGAGAAGAAGGTGAAGTTTGTGCATGTCGGATTGGAGCAGATTAGCGATATCCATTTGTTTCGCTGCAAAGGTCGGGTAGAAGGGCTCGAATCGCGCGCTATAAGACCGCAAAAGAGTCTCCACTGCCGTAGCAGATGGAGTAGGAAGGCTACCGTCCACCCCGCCAGGTGATGTCCTAGCGGGCAGCGAAGGTGGCGATAGCCGAGCGGATTTAGAAAGTTGACGAGCCTGTTGGATGAACCCGTTAGCTACATCCATGACAGATACTCGAAGCGAATCCTCAATTGAGTCGAGGTTCAGGAACTTATCGGAAGCAGCTTTAGAGAACGTACGCGAGAGCATGGATTCCTCCCAGATTTGGGGGTGGTTGTTCGGGATTGCTTTGATGCCATCATAGTAGTTTACAGAAGTGCTGGGGATATTCGCGTTACATCGGAAGGTTGTCCATTCGTCTTGCACACCGCTCGGGGAATCAGAATCCGGAGCGGAATACTCGCTAATAGACAGAGATGGGACTGCCCTTGTATGTGGCAGCTGTGGAGGGGATGCGGACAACGATTGGCTTGGCCAGGCGTTTATTGATGAAGGCGATTCGCAAACCGGCGATTCGAAGGTGCGCATTTGACCCATTGGAGTAGAGTTACCATCAACATCCTGGGACCACATTCGCATATCTGCCTCGTTCGGTATCAGTCCAGGGATCTCGTTCTCGAAGCCAAGTCCAATGGGCATTGCACCATCATCAGACCATGCCTGGGGATTCATATAGGGTTCGAATGGGTCCGTTGTAAGGGGTTCGCCGTACGTGAAGGATTCTGGCGTTTGGGGTGTTAATCGCCCAGAACTGATGAAGCTGGTTTTGTCCATTTGATGTGGAAAGACTGCCAGGCCTTGCTCAGGGCTCCCAAAATCCGAGTAGCAACCGTCAATGATTTGAGGACTGAAAGTTGGGAGCGGTGTGAGCATATGCATGCTGTTGAAGTCCGGTTGGTGACCCAATTTTACAGCGGTAGCCATGTCCATTTGAGAAGCAGCTCTCACGAGCAGGTGTCCATTTGAAGATGGGACGCTTCGTGGTGAACCGTGACGACTCATCGTTGGGATGGAGTTGGTTGAGGGGTATCTCTTGGGAGACACCATCTTGTTCTTTGTTTGGCGGGGGTAATTGCTATCTGATGTTCGTCGAGTTGATCTTGGCTCGCACTGGAGGCCTTTCGTAGTACAACGAGAACATGATGGGATCTAAAGGCAAGCTTCGTTAGAGAGGCACTAAGACTTGACAGTGAGATCCAAGCTTACAGCTTTGTCGCACTTTGTCTTTGCTTTGGCACAGATTGTGCAGGCAATTGCTCGTCTTTGGGCCATCTTGGGGTAAGGGCTGTGGTGTTTGGAATATGGTGAGCCTTGAGGTGTCAGGCTAGACTCAAGTTTGGGTGATGGATTCATTGAATATGTGAGGCGAGGGGGAGGAGCAGTGATATAAAAAGAGTGCGCTTGGAATAGAAGCCGAACGCGGGGAGGTGCAGTGATGGGGTGCAGTTGAGACGAGGGAGGGAGTGGTGAAATATGAGTGGTGAGATTCAAAGTAGTGGGATGTGCTTAAGATGTTTGCTCAAGCTCACAGGGGAAGTGGTGGCTGATTCAAAAACTGGAGACTTCCGTGCGATACCTATATCCTCGATTCTGAGTGCCTCTGATTCCCGGAGACTTGCAGCCAGACTAAGGTGCTTTTCCAACGGCTGCCCTGTGCAGACCTTGATTCAGATTCAAGGGCCAATGACACACCCAGGATAATGTTACCTTTCATAAAGATAACCGATCGCCTTCCAAGCTGGTTCGGACTGTGCGTGGAGGTGGGGAGTGACAATCCCTGATGTTCTCAAACATGCTCCTAGCGCCTAGCCTTGCAACCATCCTGCGATTCCTGCCCCAGGAGCGCCAGGATGATCCGCCAAATTGGACACAGAAAGCAGCAAATGCATTGCCTGTTTCAGCTGAGCAAAGAGCTTGCAAGGGATGTCCTGCAGGCTGACTAGGCCGGGGTGGCACTGTTGTCGAAGGATGATCTGACCACCCTACGATGACGATGGGAGATGGCAGGTCGCTTGAGACCCAAGCTGTGGCTTGAGCCTTGCGGATGCCGGCGAGCACAGCAGCCTTGCACTTGGGATCGTAAATGTGGGCAATGCCTCATGTCTTTGCGTAAGCTAATGTGCGTGATAGATTAGTGGTGAACGGCATTCACCTGGTTACCACACACACAGGGTGGGAGCAACTGGAGGCCTGGATGCCACAAGAAGCGCCGCCGCCGAGGAGGAGAGCAGGTCAGTGGCGAAAGGGCGAAGCATGTCTCTTGCCTGTGAAACGAAACTCCGGGGCTGGGCCAGTGGATGCTTGAGGTAGACCCGTTGTGGGGTGCAAACTGGCGAGGAGGAAGAGGTGTCTGCGCAGCGCTCTAATGGCGCAGGGCAACAGAGCGATTGGGCCAGAATTGGAGAGAGGAACAGTTCGACTGCAGCTGCAAGCGCAATATCGAAGAGAGCGATGAGTGCAGGAGGTGGGAGAGGATTGGCGAGGTGTGGGATCCATTTTCGGCTGAGGCGCGGGTTCGCGGGGCCAGGGCAGCCTCCACGATGCGTCCCTTGACAGCCTGGACATCCGCCGCCAGACGACGGCCGCGACGATCTCGGGAACGAGTTAAACAACGGTTCGATACCCGTCCGCCAGCCTCGCCATCGCTGTGCATTGTGGACATTTCGCTCGACAGCGTCACGGAACCTGCACGCCTGCTATTTCTGCACACTGTGGCCGAAGCTAGGCAGTGCGCGTGAGGAGCACAATGCAGCGACGTGCAGAGACCTGCAGAGCGGTGTCATCCCGCTCTTTTTGCGGTCGTCCTGCAAGGCACAAATTGGTACTGGGGCTGCCAAATCGCCGTTTCTGGTATGTCGGGTAATATTCTGGTGAGATGAGCGTGGCTGGACAAAACCGCCGGCCAACCACATGCACTCTCTGGCGGCACAGGGACCCCATGCTCTCGGTGGCCTTCCGGATGGGGAACTATTAGGGTCCTGCCTGGTCGTTTTGGGTAGACTACCCTCTCCTCACTACTGTCTCCCGATGTGGAACAAGAGAGAAATCACCGACGGCTTCTAGAAAACCACCGCTGCCCTTCCATGACCTTGCCCGGCTAGTCACTTTGCCTTTGCCTGTAATCCCGCTCTCATAATACACACCGCATCCCATCAATATGTTAGCATCTCCACAAACAACAAGTGGAATCTTCAGGAGAGCTTACAGGACGCGGTCACACTGCCAAGCTGCTCCTGCTGGCTTTCTCTCAGGATCAACAGCATTTGCGGCCGTCGCTTTCTCGACTGAGAAGAATCGTATTGAGAGGGGTAAGCAAGCCACAAATTCAGCTTTCGACGCCATATGCTCCTCAACAAAGCCTGCGTAATCAGCCTTATGGGAAACCCCATCGAAGGAAGGGACTGCTGTATCTCGCCCTATTCGTTCCTCACTGCCGTCTCTTTTTTAGCGATGTCCAGAGCAGCAATCCGGAGATGAGAGAACAGTGGCTACACCAGAGCGGCAGCCACAGTGTTGACGAGGCTCTCGAATAATCGGAAGGATGCGGTCAGTGACAATCGGCTGGACATGTTTACGGCGGCTTCGGCTTTCGTGAGAGTTGCAGACCTCCATCCTTCTGAATTGGGCCAGGTCGCGTGAAGAATGCTCCATTGTAGAAGGCCTTGCAGCTGCAGGATTGACCACGCTACCGTCCTTCCTCACTGCTGCAGTGGGAGTGGACAGGATCCAAGAGTTCCTTCTCCTGACTTTGAATATTACGCTCCTTCATCTTGCAATGCTGAAGTGCACACGTGGTGATCTAAGGCGTGCGGCGAGCGAACCCTTGGTTCACTCCAGGCTTACTGTTGACAGATTGTGGATAGCGAAGACTTCGCTCTCTCGGCAACTCCCGCCTCGGGAGCGATGCTAGAGGGATCAGATGACAGATGGCCCTCGATCAGTCTCCCAAGGCCCAACCACGGGCGGCCTGTGGGATTTGCAAGACTGAGACAGCTCGCAGCATGGCCGTATTCCCTTTCTTAGACCCCACCGATTTGCAATGCTTATTACAACGTACCAGAAACAACACAGCGAGTTCCTCATCTTGCTAATTAAGTTCAAATGCTGTTGATATCGACGTTTAGGGTTGCATTGCGCGAAAGAGGGCAATCGGTAGACAAAGCTGCAGAACAACTAGTCGCACAGTGTTGGAGTGCGCTCAGACTCCGTATGGCCCCAGACTAATGTTTCGAAGCGTAGCACGACATTTGTGATGCTGATTGATGGTATCCGGACTCAATGAGGATAGGGCCTTGGGGCGATGTCTCGTGGAATCTCTGAGTTTGCTGCAGGTACCCATTAGTGCCTGTGCTTGCAAAGCACCTTAAATTCTCGTATGTTTTGACAAGGAGACCTGCGGGGAACAAGAGGGGAAGTTTTCGCGGTCAGCAGCACTGCCTCAATGTGTCGTTGAGTCCAAGGATAGAATCCTCGGCCGCGTTCGGCAATACGAGTGAAGACTTTGGGTCGGAAATGAAAACGAATGCCCGACGTGGGAGGAGCATTTCCCTCTTCAGCAGAACGGCCCCGACTTTTGATGAAGATTTGGTGGTATTGCTGATGTTGAGGTAGCACGGTTGGACTATAGTGTGATGAAAAAGAATTGAAGCCGGCGTAGAGCGTGGTTGACTGGAGCTGACAAAAGGGGCTATGTCACACAATACTCGCTAGCGTCTATAGTGACATTCTCCAATTTTCTTATCGCGACATGTTCTTTCATCCACTTCATTTCTTGTGGGAAACTTCCTCCACAATTGCTTTACGTTACTATTCTTAAAAAAAAATTTAAAAAAAGACCCCACCCAGCCCATCGGAAATAATGACAGTGGCTGAAACGAGGGAATTCGACCCAGGTCTCTTTCTTGCGGAAGGTGATCTCCCAAGTGATACCGTCACTCCAGATCTTCTCATACTAAACCAGCCAATCGCGAGCTTTGATGTATTTGCACGGCTCTGGAGACATACGATTTATCAGATATGTGCCGATGGTGGTGCGAACAGATTGTACGACATGTTCGAGGGGGCGCTGGAACTTCGAAGAGGGGACTTCGTAAGAGGAAACCGCACCGCCTCATTGTCAATCACTGATCTTTGGAAGTTGCCAGATGCTATTCATGGAGACCTTGATTCACTGCGAGATGACGTACGAGCTTATTATACATCACGTGGCGTTGATGTATCCCAGGACCTCGACCAATATAGTACAGACTTCGGCAAGGCTATGCAGAAAATCTTCTCACGAGACTCGCCTTCGCCACAGAGGGAGGTAATAGTGCTTGGGACTCTGGCAGGAAGAGTTGATCAAGGTCTAGGGCTGCTCCATGAATTAATCAGAGAAGAGTCGAGGCACCCAGATCTCCAACTGTGGCTCTTCTCTGAGTCAAACGTGTCCTTTATTCTGAAGGCCACACATAACATTATCCAAAACACGCTATCCAATAGGCTGTTCACCAGAAATGTTGGCCTTCTTCCAATCTACGGCCCTGCGGTTATCACCACGACTGGGTTGGAATGGGATGTGAAGGATTGGGAGACCCAGATGGGCCACCAGGTCAGTACCAGCAACCACACTGTGGCCGAAGAGGTCCATGTGCAGACCAACGCACCAATCCTGTTCACAATTGAAAGAGCTGTCCTCGCCACGGGTGCAAAGCCAGCACAGCGGAGATGATTTGTACGCCGAAGAGTGCGTATTGCGCACTGGTTGACGCCTCATTTGAGGCTCTTCTTCTTGGGTACATCAGCATTTGCGGCGCTCGTAATTCTAGATACCCCATTCGTAGCGGATTGAAAAACTGGAAGTTGAGGCGATTTTCCGAAGACCGTGCACTAGAAGGATCTCCGTTCATTTGAGAGAAGGAATGGAAGAAACTCCCTCTGCGCGGGCTTCTGCAAGCCACAAAATCTCTGCATCTCTGCATCTCTCCTTTTACGAAATGGAACCTCTCACACGACGCGGAAAACTTGACGAGACTATTGTAGAAGTTAGCCTTGCGCCGAACCATCAACCAAACTGCTGGGAGCTTGCCGACGTCGTGGTTCTCTGAGATGTCACGTTGTTGGTGAAACAAAATCATTTCCGCTCTAGATTCCATGGGCATGAATGTACATACATAGCCACGTTGTTTCTGATGAAAGAAGGATTCAGGGCCGACGAGCGCGGGGGAGACCGAGGAGGGGTGCCAGAAGCGTGCACCAAGGTATCCTTTCACGATGACACCATTGCATTCCTTGGAGTAGGCGTTCCACCTCACCATGACAGCTGCAACCCAGGCCCATCGCATCCAGTGTGCAGAGTACTGCTTCAGTCGTTGGTGATTTTCCTTTGCGGCGCTTGGAGATACTCATTTTCACGATCGCACGGGCGAGAGAAGGAACGATGATGGGGATGCACTAAGGCAGAGTGTTTGAAGATGTTGTTTCGGCACACCTGGCAGCCTTTTTCCACGGTGGGACACCCGGAGGCTTGCATCTGCCGAATATCGTGTACTACGAGACCTCATTCGCAGGCGTCATGACGTTCTCGCAACACGCTCTCCGCACGACAAAGCCGATGCGGGAGCTGCTAATGAGGTCACGAAGGCGGAGTGATTCGTCAGCACCGTATGATTAGTTTCAGTCCAAAAAAGCTGGATAGATACAGGATCGATACAGGATCGATACAAGATCGATAGCACAGATATATTGACAGCCCCGTGATTGGCCAATTGGTGGCATTCGCTCCTGTTTTCGTTCATGGGTGGGTCCGTGTTCCTGTTCCCTGTGGCTAGCTGATTGTCAACGCTATCGCACAGCTCCATCTCCATCGGCGGGTCACCCAACAAAATCAGACGTCGCTGTCTTGTCACGCTCGCTATCTCCAAGGGCTCCAAGAGTCTGTCCCTTCGCTGACACGTCCACTCGCTCGTTCGAAGAGACAAGCAACAGCCTGAACGCCTTTTTACCCATCGGGTTGTTAGCTTTGTGCCTAGGTCAGCTAGCGCTTCAAAGCTCCCTCCAGCTCAACATCGTCCTGCGCAATACTCGACTGCTCAACGGCGGCTCTCCAACCTCTGATTCTTGCAAACTGCCCCCAGCTACTCCTTCCTTTAGAACATGTTATAAACAAACTCGTTGTGCTGCCCGTATATTGCGTTGCTGGAAAAGTCGGACCGTCCGTTGCCTGTCCACCGTGGTGAGGAGACCCGGACAAAGCGAGTAGAGGACACACAGTGCACTGGGATGGCACCGCTGCGGAAAGCTGCGTCACACTCTCTGATTCGGGGTTTGGGATCAGAAGAACTGGGGGATGCCCAACAATTCGGACGGTCCGCATCGAGCCTCAACGCAGAGCGGGTTTCTGCTTCTCTCCGCGACCCCGAGCCTCGGTCCTTGGATAAGTCGGCAAGCTCGCCGAACTTGCTGCAGAAGAAGACCTCGAAGAGTCCCCAAGCTGAGACTTCCGACCCCGCAGGTTCCTCAACACTGCTTCCACCGCCTCAAGCTCGCCGCCCATCCTCCTACGTCCCCCCTGTATCCTCTCCATTGAACCCTGGCACATCTCCAGACCCTAGAAATAGTGGCAGAGCTGATAGTGATGGGCAAAGCAGACCGGGCGATGACTCTAAACCCTCCTCGGGCCTGCAAACCTGCAACGGCGATTCACCCAGTCGACGGCCACCTCCTCGACCCCCCTTGCGACGACCGAAGCAAAGAGGCACCCCTGAGATGCCTGAGGTTGAGTCTCGTCGTGTGAGCACTCCCCTGACTGTCCAGGAACTTGGCTCCGACTACACGCGCTATTTCAACCCCTTCACAGATAGTGCAAGAAGCTCTTTTGTAGACATATCCACAAATCCGCTTCCACGCTACCCCTCCAACTCGCGCGCGAACACCTTGCCTAACCCTGCGAATCCTTTCAGCACACCAAATGCGTCAACAACTAAACTGAACGCAGACCCCGACCCCGAGAAGCATGGATATTTGGTTGATGACCGTTTAGGGGCGCCATACGATGAGAAAGGAAGCTGGAGCTGGCCTCTAATCACGGACAAGGAAGAGGACGATGATGAAATGCATATGCCCAGGGATGATGATGACATCATGTACAAGCCGCATTGGAGAGACCATTTCTCGAGGGCCAACATTGTGTCGACTGTTGGCCTGTTCATGATGATCTTGGGCCTCCTATTTGTCTTCATTGTCCTTCCTGTGATAAGTTACGCCGGATATATAAATTTCAGCTCCGGATATTCTACGCCGCTTTCGCAGATGACTAGGCTTTATCCGCACGCAGAGACATGGGCCACCGTGAACAATGAAACGTACCCTCTTCTGAAGAATATCAGGACCGGTCTGATCGACCCTGACACTCCCCAGAGTGCAAAGACGATAACAGGTCTTCATGGCGACGAGTATGTCCTCGTTTTTAGTGACGAGTTTAACAACAACAATCGCACTTTTTATGAAGGCGATGACCCGTTCTGGTTTGCCCCTGACATTTGGTACGGCGCTACACAAGACCTGGACTGGTATGACCCGGACGCGGTTACCACGTGGGATGGTACGCTCGAGCTTCGGCTGGACAAGTTCCTCAATCATGGGTTGAACTTCCGCTCAGGGATGTTGAATAGCTGGAATCATCTATGCTTTAAGGGCGGAATTTTCGAGGTATCTGTCTCTCTCCCTGGGCCAGCCGCAGCTATGGGACTGTGGCCAGGAGCTTGGACAATGGGCAATCTTGGTCGACCAGGGTATCTCTCAACAACGGAAGGACTGTGGCCGTACACCTACAACACCTGCGATGCCGGTATTACACCCAATCAATCGTCCTACGACGGCCTGAGCCGGCTTCCCGGTCAACGGCTACCTTCCTGCACTTGTCCGGGTGAAGACCATCCTACGCCGGGGACAGGAAGAGGAGCGCCGGAAATTGATATCTTCGAAGCTGGTGCTAGCTACGGAGGCTTGCCGATTGCAACTCAGAGTTACCAGGTAGCACCTTTTGATTTGTGGTACTATCCTGACTACGAATTCACTGCATTCCCCGATTACAGTATCAGCTATACCAATGGATACACGGGAGGGCCATTTCAGCAAGCCATCTCTGCAACCACGAACCTCAACAAGAATTGGTATGATGGAAAACAATACCAGAAATACTCATTCGAATATGTGCCAGGCCAAGGTGAAGATGCCTACATTGGATGGAAAGTTGGAAACCAGATGACTTTTTACATTGATGGACGAGCCATCGGACCTAATGGCAACATCGGCTCTCGTCAGATATCTCAGGAACCAATGTCCTTGGTCCTCAACCTAGGCATCAGCAACTCTTGGACGTTCATCGATTGGGAAAAACTCAAGTTCCCGACAGTAATGCGTGTGGACTATGTGAGGTGGTATCAGAAGGCTGGAAGGGAGTCTGTTACTTGTGACCCCCCCGGGTATGAGACCACCACATATATAAAGGACCACCTCAACGCCTATACAAATCCGAACTTCACAGTAGGTCGTCCCTAGCTCTAGCCCCAAACGCTTCGAGGCTAATTGTGAGAAGCACTGGTCTCAGACAGGTCACGACTGGCCAAAGCACAAACTCAACACTAACTGTTGAGTCTCTTCACACCAACTCAAGCCAGATCCTCAGCTCCAGAAATATGTGCCGCACCACTCATAGTGCTACTCTCTTCGATGTCTTCGGGCGAGACTCCGATCAAAAATCTCACAAGTGGTGTCGATCATGAGGTCTAACATCTCGGCTGCAATCCACAGCAAATAAGATCATTCTATACAACGTTTAACCCTTTTTGCGAGGGCGAAGCCGCGCGCCACTACCTCAATTTCCGTTCTACCCTTGCAGTTCAGACCGACATCCAGAGTAGTTGCAGACACGGCAGGAAAACGAGGGCCGTCATTAACACGCGCGGTGCGGCTGAAGGAATTTAATGCATATGGAACGAATGTTCCGGATCTGGAGTGCTTAATCTCGATCTCGACACGAATACCTCTACCTCGCCTAATCTTGTTCCCTACCCCGAAACGAGATCTCAACATTCAGCTCCCATCATCTACGAACCGTATCAGCATCTCATTTACTCGTCCATCCCAGCATCCTCGGTCATCACATCTCGCTTTTTCCCAACACATGCAACAATTTTAGTACCTGTACCCTATTTTTAATCCTGCAGACATGGCCAACAGTTACCGGCTTTCAGCACACATTGCATTTATTAGGCCATTCTCACCTTCCCTTTCTGACGTAACCATGAATGGGCGGCTCCAAAAATTTATATTTCTTCACGGTCCTTACACGCATATACATTTGGCAGCTTTACGACTTGCATCTGGTACCGGTAGACCTTCAGGGTGATGGGTGGGGGGTATTGATTTTAACATTGACGTTCAAGCGTGCAGACAGAAACTAGGTATTCATGCAAACAGGGTGGTAGATTTGGGGGCTTTCTTTTCCTTGACATTGGGATCAGGATCAGGGCCGGAATCTGGATGCGGGTACCTTTACTAGCTTGTCGAGGAGGGACATTGGAGTGTGCATGGATTGGAAATATACAGGTAGTACGCAACGTAATAATAATACAAGAAGGGTGTTTACTAAACACCCTCAATTTTCAGCTTATATTCTAGCCCCTCTCCTACGTTTCCGGTTTCTTTACTAGCCTGAGGGTGGTGTGATGTTGCTGTAGAGGTGAATGGAGGGGAGAGCATCTTGGATTGCAACTGTTTCATTGAGGCCTTGAAACCCGTGATATCGAGCTCGGCGATATATTGATTATTAGGCTTGGTAAATATCGAAGCGTGAGTGCATTACGGTCGTTTTGACGGAGACTGGGTGGGTAAGTGGTGTGTTGGTAGCTTATTTCCAATAACTAAGTTCGTTTTCTCTCCTGGGGCACCCCCGGCTTCAGGTGAACTCAACATTGATGGTCGAGGACTCGAGCATCCATACGGCAAGTCGTATATAATATCTGCTTGCTAAGAATAGGATTGTGCTACTCAGGCACGGTCTTGCAGTGTAACACCTTCCCCTTCCTCATGTAATATTGCAACCATCGGGCTAGTCATTGAGTTTTGACGCCGTGGAACACCACCACACTCCTTGTGAACCAAACCCAGGCTTTTAAAGTTTCTCTCACTATCAAGTAGTGGGTTCTGACTAGCTCGTAGAGTAAGTGGTAGTGGGGAAGCGAGAAGCCGGAAGGGGCAATGCATATGCTATGGTGTGCGTGCATGAGCTGACGACTAGCCCATCCTCCCTTTCCACTGCGCCCCAGACGCATATATCTACACATTTAGAGGTTGACATGCCCGAGCTGTGGAAGGTGGTATCCAAACCTAAAATTGCCTTTCCCAGATGTCACTCCACCAACCACTGAGCTTTTCTGAAGTCTAGGTAACTCGACCTGCCTAGCCACTAGGACGTCTAGCCTTGTGTTAGAAGGCACGGCTGTGTATATCCAGCGGAAGGGTTTATAATATGAAGTGGTTGGTATTGGGCAGACATGCATCGCATACTGCAAGAAGAGAAGGACTTGAGGGTGTGTGGCGGTGCGTTTCTAGTCTGAAGTGCGAGGGATGGTGGTAGGGTTCGAGTAGGAAACGGACCGAGAGACGGAGAAAAAAATATAGTAGGCTTTGAAATGATGCCCACAGCGTTAGGTTCCATGGTTTTTTTTTTTTTTTTTTTAGAAATCTGCCAATTTCTTAGGACTCAGTATAGGTAGGCGTTTCATAGTTGTTATAATATGACTATACATTGTTTGGCAATATGATGGAGCCTGCTTACCAAGGTAACGTTCTGCATCTTAACAGTGTAGCCAATGCGTGCTAGATTACTCTCCCTATTTACTCTGGGGACTATATTCATCGCCTTCACTATCACTCTCTTCTTTTCTCACACTCACTTTATATTTTACATTTACATTCATTTTTACATCACATTCACATTCCTACATTGCCTAGAGAGCAGAATACACAGGGATTAAAGAACTAAGAGAATATTAAGTATTCAAAAGCTCCTGCCTGGACCAATATTCTTACTTTTATATATAATCTAAACACTCTCACTGTCTGTGTTAACACACCGCTCGATCAAGATGCTAATCCCACCCCTTCAAACTAAAAAATCGGGTGTCTTACAGGACTACGAGTATGTCTCTGTTATCTTCCTTCTTGAGTTCTGTGGGCTATCCATACATTCGAGCTGCTTCGAGGAGGAGAGTTTGACGGCATCACACTTTCTCCGTCTTCTCACACCTGCGAGGGAAAGCAAGGGGATAGTAGAGTGCTCATTTATGATATTCTTCTACTGTATGGGGAAGTGGGAAGCAAAATAATATCACCGCGGTAGACTATGACAACGCCATGTATCTAAGAATATCGTTAGAACCTATGCATCCATTGCGAATGACCAGAAATCTATCCACTTCCCAAATGCCTACTTTTCCATTCCCAAAGCGATATGATCCGTATAATAAATTTTTTCCCCATACCCCCTCAGTCATCCTCACTCCGATAACCCTCTCCCCTTCCCCCCTCCATCTCCGTTAACCGTAATGCCTCCTCCACACTATTCACAAAACAACGTCTCCCACCACACATATCTACAATCCCACTGGCCACAAACAGTCTCCAGACCTGACTCCTCTCACTCGGCACTCTACAAAAGAACACCATAACGCCTCTGTCCCGATAACCCTCAATAATCTCATACAACACCTGCGCACCCGCTCCATCTAGACTCGTAACGCCATGGACGTCGAAAATGATGTTTTTGTTGTGTTCTTCACGTCTGACACGTGGTAACGCAGGATGCACTGCGCCGGTGCCATGGTCTTCCAGACGCTTCAGTCTGTTCTTCAAATCCCCCGTATTTGCAAACGTCAACGGTTCCGGGATTTTGATGATCAGGCAACCCTCAATGAACTCCAGATTCCCGGGATCCAGTTCCGCGTTCGCAAATTTATCCGTCGTGCCTGGTACTCTTCCCAGAATCTGGATCCTGGGTCTAGTGGAATGGCGGATGAGACGGAGGATGGAGAGCCCAATTCCGACGGCAATGCCGCGCTTTAAGTCCCAGAAGATGGTTGCGAGAAATATGCCGAACATGAGGATCATTTCAGACCATCCTCGGATCCGCCAGAAGAATTTCATGTCGTGAGGAGCTTCTTCGACGAGGGAGTAGGCAACGACAGAGACCATGGCGCAGAGGACGCCTTTGGGGAGGAAGTAGAAGTAGGGCAGGAGGAAGCAGATACAGATTATGGTTATGAGGGAGAGGAAGATGGAGCTCATAGGTGTTGTGCCGCCTGTTGAGGCGTTGACTTTACTCCGACCATAGCCGCCAAAGGCGGGGAGAGACATGAAGAGACCACCGACAACGTTCGCAGTGCCGAGGGCAATGAGCTCCCGGTTGGCGCTTAGTGACATATTTTGGATACCGTCTTTCTTGCCTTCACCGTTGCCAAGGCTTTTTGCAGCGACTGAGGATTCGAAGAATCCAAGCAGGGCAATGATGAGTGCTGTGTTTACAGCATCTGACACATATTTGAGATGCGATGTTTCGAACGGGAAGTGAACTGCAAAAGTTTTGCCTCCGGACTTGACATCACCAAGTACGGCGAGTCCCTTATCTTCCCAGCCACATCTCCAGGCTAAAATGGCGGAGAAGACGACGACAAGGAACCTATCGGGCACGTATGCGACGTTAGGATATCGTGACTGTAGCCTCTTTTTTAGTTCTCTGGTATGAAATTAGCATTTGAAATGGAGTGCTGTACAAATCGAAGACTTTACCTGAAGAACATGATAATCGCAAAGGCACCAAACGAGACGGCCGAGGTAAGGCCATGGGCTTTACCTGCATTGCGGAAGAGGAAAATGATTTTGTCCAAGCAGCTTCCGTGGGACACTTCCACGGCGGCCAGCCTAGCCAATCCCATTTCAGGGATCAGTTGATCCACGAAGATGACAACACCGATAGCGCTGATGAAGCCACGCAGAAACGGTCGACTGAGGACGTTGTCGAGGAAGCCAAGTCTGAAGAGGCCAGCGGTGAAGATAAAGGCACCTGCCATGCACGTCACAATGCCTGCAATCTCAGCATTGCGGACGCCGTCCTCATCGTCGGTTGTTCCTTTCCGAATGTTCTCTCGCACCACTTCGCCTGTAAGAAGAGAGCCAGCGGCTTCGGGGCCGACAACCATCTGGGGGCAGGTACCGAGCACGGCGTAGATCAACGGGTTGATGGCGAAGCTGTAGAGCCCGTTGACAGGAGGAAGGTGGCCAAGGTTCGAGGCGTAGGAGAGTGTCATGGGGATGTAGAAAGAGGCTACCGTGAGCGCGGCAACGAAGTCGCCCCGAAGATATCGCCATTTGTACTGCCGTGCCCAGTTGAATATAGGAATATAGTAAGCGAGATACCTTTGATTTGTTAGGGATGGAGAGAGAGTAGCCAAGGGGGATGGATGTACACCACATACATAGATTTCTGGTTCTTGATGCCATTCCTCTCAGCAAGCCATCGCGTAGTGCTCATCTTGTGCCCATTGGCGGACCCCAGAACACCGTCTGCGAACGTGCCACCCAGCAGGGCATGTGTGGGATCCGCGCTCTCCCCGGGGCCTTGGGCCAGGCCGCCCGCATATCGTCCACCGAAGCCATCTCTCGACATGTCAGAGCTGATGCTTCCATAATCCCTTTGATGCCAGGGCCTGGGGGACAGCGAGCCATGATTGCAGTTCTCGCTCCCACAGCCAGAGCTTTGGTCCCAGTCCCTGTTACTCCGCAACCGTGAGCGCGGGACATGCTCCAAGTCAACTTCGATGACGGCGCCGCCTTGGTCGGGGGGAACACTCTCGCCATTGGAGTGCACCGAGGCACCGTCGGGCACGGGGGGGATGCCAGCGGTCGAAAACTCGACGGTGTTCTGGGGGGAGCTGCTCGAGGCGGCGGGGTCCTGGGCGGGGAACGACATGGTGAGCTTGGTGTCGTCGGGGGAGGTGGAGGGGTCTGAGGGGACATGGACCTCCCTCAAGTGGCTAGGGTTAAGGGGGACATGGGAATTTTGGCGGGCGCTCGCCGTGGACGACTTGCGACGAGGATGCATCAACGGCGTCCGGCAATGACGTCGATTCCGTCCTGTATCTCTTTGCGGCTCTGATGTCGTCGTTTGGGGGCTGTGGCTCAACGCCTCGCTTGTTAGCCGTATTTTGGCCGGAAGGTTTTGCTTTTCTGTGACTCGAGACGGGAGCTCAGTTTGCGGTCTGCTGGACACATGCTGGGGAGGAGAGAACAGAAGGAGAATCAGACAGAACGGAGGGGTGGCATGCCTGTTGCGGTGAGGACAGGTGACGGATATGGGTCCGAGGAAGTCATTCACTCGCTGCACGTGCCGGGATGAACGGCCTGAGCAGTCCGCCCTCCTCCTCCCTCTCTCCCAGGCTCAGAATCTGGCGTGGAGGACAGGGCCAGCCGCTCACCGCCTGCACCTTGCCTGGCAGAAAAATCAATGCTCAGAGTCAGAGCGACAGTTAAATTGCTGCGCACCTCCATGCCCACACACTGCTCTGCGCCCTTTCTCTTGCTCGTCCAGTCTCACCAAAGACAAGTGCCTGCACACCGCATTGCCCCATTCTCCAATTGATAGCCCTAAGCCCCAGCATTCCTCCCCAATGGCCTTCCCCGCCCTCCATGCCCGCGCCGAGGCCAAGCCCCTCGAACACCGCTCCTGCCTTACTCCTACTACCGCTCAACACCTCCTCCATGCGGGGTACCCCGTGCTGGTTGAGCGCAGCTCCACCGACCCCCACTATACTCGTATCTTCCAGGACGAGGAGTTCGAGCAAGTCGGCTGCACCCTCGTCGACGAAGGCGCATGGGAGACTGCCCCCACCGATCGCATAATCATTGGCTTGAAGGAGCTCCCTGAAGCCGACACTCCCCTCAGGCACACCTTCGTCCACTTTGCCCACTGCTACAAGCTGCAGGCTGGTTGGGAACAGGTCCTGGCAAGATTCCCCCGCGGCGGTGGCACCCTCTATGATCTGGAATTTCTCCAGGATTCGGCGGGTCGGAGAGTGGCGGCTTTTGGATACCACGCTGGGTTTGCAGGAGCTGCCCTCGCTATCAAGGTAGGTCGTCTACGAACTTATCCCCACCCCCACTGACACTTCCCCAGACTTGGGCATGGCAGCTCACGCATCCCACCGGAGAGCCCCTTCCAGGTCTGGAGACATTCACTGGCGGCAAGGGCTACTACAACAACGAGAGCGAGCTGATCGCACAACTCAAGGAGGATGTCGTTGCCGGTGAGAAAGTCGCTGGGCGTAGGCCCACCAGCCTTGTCCTTGGCGCTCTGGGGCGATGCGGTAGCGGGGCTGTGGACCTCCTCGAGAAAATCGGCTGTTCCGAAATCAAGAAGTGGGATCTCCCTGAAACCTCGCAGCGAGATGGCCCATACCCGGAGATCGTCCAATCCGACATCTTCGTCAACTGCATCTACCTCTCCAAGCCCATTCCCCCATTCGTCAACTTGGAGAGCCTCAAGTCGCCCGACAGGAGGCTGAGCGTGGTATGCGACGTCAGCTGCGATACGACCAATCCCCACAATCCCATTCCCATCTACACGATAAACACTACCTTCGACAAGCCCACTGTTGAGGTTCCCGTTGAAGGTGACGGTCCAAGACTCTCTGTTATCTCAATCGACCATCTGCCTTCAGCTCTCCCGCGAGAATCTTCCGAGGCTTTCAGCTCTGCTTTGCTACCAAGCCTGATGGCCTTGAAAGACAGGTCCAGCACGCCTGTGTGGCAAGGCGCAGAGCAGTTGTTCCAGGAGAAGGTTGCAACGCTGCCAGAGGGGATGGGCACGAGAGAGGTTTGAGCAGAATCAGAAGAACACATGTATGATACTAAGAAACTCTTTCTTTCATGTTCAAAAAAAAAAAAAAGGCGCAATATTAGAACCGGTATGAGCCAATGAGCCAATGAGCCAATGAGCCAATGAAGCAATTCCGTCTCCTCCATTTCAATGCCACATGTTCAATTCTGTGTGTTATTTCTCCATATCCAGAGCTTCATACAAGACCCCCTCCCATCACATCACCGGTACAACAACTCCTCCACCTCCTCCGCAATCGCTAAACTACTCGTTAACCCCGGACTCTCAATCCCCAATAAATTCACAAACCCCTGCACTCCCTCCTCCCTCTTGATCCAAAAATCTTGAAACCCCTTCCCCGACACCACACCCCCCATTCTTCCTAACTTCGGCCTGATACCCACATAATCCAGCCCCACCGCCGTAGTATTAATATCCGGGAGATACGTTGCAATGTCCGCAAGCGCGGCTGCGAGATTCTTCTCCGACACGCGGTAGTCGGAGGGGGAGTTTGTCCATTCTACATCTGGCCCAAAACGCACGCGGCCGGAGAGGTCGAGCGTGAGATGCGTGCCTAGACCTGCGTGGCCTGGGATTGGGGCTGGGTAGATTAGAGTCGAGGGTTTTGGATGGGGGAGGGAATAGGAGAAATATGACCCTTTAGCGTAATACGGGGTTCTGTGCCGTTCTGGGGGTAGGATCATGTTGGAAATAGGGATTGCGGAGAGTCCGGCGGAATTGATGAGAGTTTCGCTGGTGATGGTGACGGAGTCGTTGGAATCCGGAGTCGTGGTTGTGATTTCCCACCCTGAGCTCCCAGAATCAATGGCCTGGATACCCGTCACTGGCGAATGGAACGCGCAAATCCCACCCTTATCCTCAAAATCCCCTTGTAGAAACTGCATTAACGAATGGCTATCCACAATCCCCGTCGTAGGGCTCTCAAGGACACCTGCCTCAGCTCTAACGTCTGGCTCGCGTTTCCGGGCTTCGTCTTTGGAGAGGAAGTGTGTTGGGACCCCGATTTTAGAGGCAAAATTATGCACGTTTTCCAGCGCGGCCATTTGCGTTGAATCCTGCGCCACTATCCACTTTCCGCAGTTGCGGTGGGGGATGGTGTGTTTACGGCAAGTTTCATACATTAATTCTTTCCCGCGCAGACAGAGCTTCGTTTTCAGGCTGTCTTCACCGTAGTATAGCCCCGCATGAATTACCTATAGCAAAGACGCAATTAGTTCATGGCGCTCAATCTTAATATCAGTCTCAGTTTCAGTCTCAGTTTCAGTCTCAGCTTTAACTTTAATTCCGTTCCCCAATTCCTAATCAATATAGGAATGTCAATTACCAAGGTGGAAATAAGCTAGGACTCAGGAAAGGGAAATGTAACTACACCTCCGAATTCCTGGAACTCGTTTCCGTCCCCACAGCGCCATGCCTCTCAATCAACACGGCACTGACACCTTCCCTTTGCTGCAGTTTCCTGGCTACAGCTAATCCTACGACGCCGCCACCGATGATCGCATGCGTGAAATCTGCGGTCCGGATTACTGTTGTGGAGAAGAGTCGATATGGCGGTGTTGGTGACGGTTGCAATTTTGCGATGAGCTTAGAGGGCGAACGAGAGAGCATTGTTGGGAGGATGGAGGAAGAGAGGAAGTGGTGTCGGATGTATTACAGCAGAACGGAGTAGAATGGAAGAACAGAACAGAGGAGTTATGTACAAAGCAGGCCAACCGTAGGCATATAACTCTTCAATCTCGCTGCAGTGCACCGGAAAACTACGTTATACCGTCAGAGCACGGATATTGATGGTTCATGGACGTACATGTACTTGCTACTTCACGAATGACGCTGAGAAGTTCTTCCGACTATCGAGCCAACTAGTGCGAATCAAGCTAGACAGTTTCCCCAATAGGTTCCCTATTCGGAGCTACATCCACGCCTTAATTCAGAGTGCACGAAAACGTAGTGGGACGGAGAGTATCAATTCCAATGGGCTTGGCAGCTTCTGGTTCAAGACATCACGGTTTTGCATTCATGACTCTCTCTCGGAGTTTCTGACGACATCAAACGCAGTGCATTGATATAACAGAATGAATGTGGTCGGAATGGGAGTAAATGAATGAGTGGGTGACTACACGGTTAGAAAGATGAAAAAAAAACCAGCCATCGGCCCTCCAATTCCTCCATACTCGCCCATGCACGAGTGAGCCTGAAACATCGATCTGTGTAAGGTGGAATTCGCTACAAGCGAGTGCTGCATGTCCTGGACGTCGCTCCTCTCTCCTTCACTGGACGTCTTCCCTTCCATCAAACAGCTGCAGTGAATTGAGGACATACTCACCCCCTCGGAGGCTTGAAGCCAAGACATGGCTTGAATCCGGTCGAAGATGAGCCGAGAGGTTCAGTCCAAGTTGTCAAGGACATCTGCTAGTCGGGGACAAGGCAAGACGTTCTGTATTGAACTTGTTCCTTCGCCCCTTCGGGCTATGATCGAGGAACCTACGGCAGAGCAGCGGGTAGTGCATACGGTATAGTACAGTAGCCAACCGGTAATACAGATGCTAGCTATAGCATCGTTGAGGATCAGATCAAGTCCTAGAAAAGTAACGGCATCGTGGTTAGCCAACAGGTGTGTAAGAGCGCTGGAATCCTCTCCCACGAGGAGCGTTTTCCTTCGAGCGATCATGTAGCTTGCGCTGAGGCCCGCGAGATCGGGTAGAAAAGAAGGAATTCCGCCTATCAGATACCGTTGGATCTGTTTCGGGCGACGTGATTGTGGAAGTTGACTGAGACTGAGAGCGAGATTGTGAAGGAGAAGTTTTGTCGTACCAGTTGACGTCACTGAGCTGCAGTTTCCTAGCCCGTTGATTGCTGCGATTATTACCTGCCTTGTCAAGACGCGGTTGTGCGTACGGATTATGTGTTTTGTCGAGCCCTTGTCCAGTCTCAGTACGCTTCCGATTAAAATTAGGTTGAAGTGAGAAATGAAACGGAGAATCACCGTCTGTGTCGTTGTCGTCTCGAAGATCGTAGTTCAAGACGAGGTTCTTAATCCGCTGCTGTTCCTCTCTTTCGGCCTGTTGCTTGCTACGCATCGCCAGGGCGAAGTTAGAATCGGATGGTAGATCAATAGCACGAGTCTGCTGCTTGTTTCCACGCTTGCTGAGCAGGGAGAACTTCATGGTTTGCACCGGAGGAGCGTGAGAAGGAGCCGGTGCTTCTCCTCCGCTGTCTTCTGCAGTGGCAGCTGCGTCACGTCCGCGACGCATAGGCAGGGGAACGTCGAAAACCGGTTTGCGCTCAAATTTCCGAGAGTCTAGACTCTCGGACATCATTTTCGCAAGCTCGCGATCAAAATCAGCCTCAGCTTCGGGGTCACGTTCATCTTCTTGTCGGGTAACGACAATTTGCTCCTCCTCGTCGTCATCTAGTACACGTTCGATAGGTTCATCATCTTCCGAAGCCTGCTTCTTTGTCAACCACTAGAAGACCTATATCGAAAGAATCACAAACCTCTCCTTCTTCGCCAGAAGACTTATCATCTTCACCATCCGGCACAGCCACATCTTCATCATCTGGACCATCGTCATTGTCGTCAGAAGCAGATTCGTCTTCATCCGCCTCAACCGGCTTGTCGATCGTTGATGTTTGATAATTTTGTTTAACGGCTTCGGCAAACGAGCGAGAAGCTTCCTCTAGGTTGGTGATCAGCTTCCATTGAGGCCGAGTGAGCATGTAAGCATCTTGCACGATGAATTCGACGTCCATCGGAAGAGGGTCTTTGGTGCAGATGTAGTATTGGAAGTAGGTTAGGAAGAAATCAAGCTTCTTCTTCGCAGCACCCTTGTCATAGTACATGCCGCAGGTTTCCAATAGGTTACAGACCAAACGAATGCGGAAATAATCGTCTGGCAAATCTAATGGGTTGACGAGTCCAGGGCGAGCATAGCCACCTTCGTATCCATAGTTGAGAAGCTTATAGAGGGTATCAAAGATCAAGGGTGAGTCTACCATTCGGTAGATATACAGTTCGCCCAGGTACTTCACCTCCGCAATCCGGCGTTGATTGAACTTAAAATCGTTCAGCTCGAGTCCAAATGTTATCGACTCGATAACATCATCAATCACCGAAATAGTAAAGTCCTGATGATAGCGATGAAGAGAGCCTAGGATGACCGCTAAGAGATGGATATTGCTGTACTTGATTTTCCCGGGTTTCGCGAAGACCTTGTGAAGGAGTTTTACAATATCGTCCTCTTCCCAGTGAAGCTTGCGAATCTGCTTGACGATTTGGTCCAAGGTACGTTTGGTCAAATCTGTGTAGATAAGCTTGCGGAGAAACAGTTCGATTGGAGTCCTCTCTTTTTGCTCAATAGCCGCACGCTCAGGTGGATTGACGTAGTAGATGGCATTCTCAATCAACATGCGTTCCTGCTGCCCGAGAACTTGGGCCGCCTTTTTGCGCTGGAGGGTCTCGAGGAAGGAGGCCATTCGCGGAGAGGTGTCTGGGTTACGAAGCAAATATCGACCGCAATTCTCGAGCAGGTTACAGGTGATTTCAATATTCATCCTAGAGAAGTCATCGAGACTAACTTTCAAGCAGTGGAATATGACATGCTCGGGCACAACTCCGAACTTGGTGAGCTCTGCAAGATAGCGAACATTCTGCGTGCGGACCTGTCCAAGGAAATCCTTCGATTTGCGGCGCTGAAGGCTGCGGAATTCATCATCGAGGTAGGACACAAGACCTTGAGATACATCGGGCATGTACTTCCCGAGGGTTGCGATCAGCCTTGAATAGAGTGGCAGCAAGTCAGAGCGGCCCTTAGGTATATCCTGAACAGCTTTGATAAGGCGGTTGCGCGAAGCCTTCGAGTTCAAGAAGCAGAAGTCGATGGCAGCCTGGTCAACCATATCCTTGGTATTCAATTCTGGCAGACGGGCAAGGATGGCGTCAACCTGGGCACCAACGGACTTGTTTGCTATTGCAGTTGACTGGTCATCAGCTTCCGTAGCTTGTGTCTCAGCTGAAGGCTCCCATTTCTCCTTGCTCTCTGCTTCAAGTTTGGTCTCGACCTTCTTGCCGACTTGTTCATCATTATCAGCCTTCTTCTTTTTTGGCTCCTCCAGCAGAATCCCCGGGACACGATCCTTTAGGTCAATCATATTTTCGTAAAATCTACGCTCCTCCTCATCTTCCCAGATTCCAGGTCCATCCCCTTGACCACGCAGATAGTCTTTAGTTTTGACGAGCCCGATGACCCCATCCCCTGCGTTTGCTGAGCTGTCCTTCTCCTTCAAATCGGGCATCTCCGCGCCAATAGCATCAGCCAAAATCTGGGCGTTGGTAGCAAGTCTCTCTTGCGCCTTCACCTGCTTCTCGTAATTGGCCTGGCGATCCTCAAACACCTCACCTGACTTGACGTAAGCTTCTGCATTCTTGCGTCCCTGATTGACTAGCTGCTTTTGGTCACGCAACAGATGCGCCTTCACATCTTCAAAGTATCGAGTTAGAATGTTCTTGAATCGCTGTCGTAGCTCTGGTGAGGTGATTGGTGGGTCTTCGGCCCCAGTATCGTCTTCATCGCTGGCAGAATTGTCCTCATTCTTGTCCGCAGTCGTAGCCCCGTCCTCAGTCACAGTCTTGCGGCCCTCTGCAGAAGATGTCTTAGCTCCTAGGATATCCCAAGCAAAGGCTTTGACGAATATAACGACCAGTGGTAAGTTGATGTGCTCCCTATCATGTCCAAGCATGTCCTTCAAGACTTCCAATGGAAAGGGCTCCGCATCAGCATTGTCCGCCCGGTTGCCATTAGCGGTCACTTTAGCTCTTCCTGAGCTTTCGCCGAGTTTCGCGGCATCTTTGCCCTTGACCGCAGCTTCTTCCGGTCGAGAGACGTCGTCTAAGCTCCTCAATACTGCCACGAGCCAAAGCTCGGTCGTTACTCGCAGGAGCACTCGCTGGCGCGCGAGACGCTCCTTCTCTTCCCTCTCGCGAACATCCTGGGCTAGTGTCTTCAGATGTGACTTGTCTGGCGTACTCAAGCCTCGGCCAATGTACCACGCAATGTAACTGGTGAACTCGCCTGGCCCAAATCTTTGGTGAAGAGCACTGACGATCTCGACACCAGCTGCGATTTCGCCGGGTGACTTGAGCTTGCATAGGCCTTCATAGCAAGCTGAAATTATCTCAGAGAGGTATTTGTGGAGGGAGAGAGTACGAATGTCGTGGACGAATTGGGACTGCGAAGAGGCGGTAATAGCCGTTCTAAGTCTTTTGATGAATGCAGTGTTCTTCTTCATGGATGAATCGAGGGAGCTTTGGACCGGGAAGACATCTGGAAGGAATGTGAGTGCAGAAGCGGGTTGCGTGGAATGAGCGCGTAATACCTTGGTGGCCAGCCCATGCCCGGAAGTTGAGCTCGCGGAGCTCCCCTGGAAACTGTCAGTATTTCGCTAGGCGTGGCAGGAAAGGCCCTCACGTTTTCTCTGCCTCTCCATGGGGCAGCCTATCCCGCAGTCGAGCGAGGGTGTGCGGTGATAGCAGGGTGTCGGCTAGGTATTGCACACATAGAATTTCGCTATGTCGGGTGCAGAGTATGTGTGCATTTGATTAGTCGCAGCTCGTTCAGCTCGCAGATGGCGAGAAAATTCAGTGATGTTGCAGAGCGACGGGAATGTAAGTGTCGTGGTAGATGAAGCGGTACCTGCAGAGTCTCTCTTATCGAGCGATTGGCCCGCACTGTCTCAAATGATGACTCAGCTGCGTCACACTGAGTTTCGTTTCTCCACAAAATGAAATATTGTCAGCACTTCTATAATGGCCCATCGCCATCATGTACTTGTGGTAGTAGTAATATGCTGTATTCCTTGGAAGCTGTATGACTTCGTAAGGGTAGGGTGGCATTGAAAAGAGCTAGCCAATTTAACTCTTCAAAGGTCATAGAACTTTCCATTTCTGGAACCGTCTCTACCCTCCCGTTTGGCCCGTAATTGGCCTATAACAGCAACATTGAAAGGAGTTCCGCACAGAATGTTCAGAATGATGAACCTTTACCCCTTTTTAACGTAATTATTTTAAAAATTACACTTTTCATCGTTTGATATCTAATGGAAACTCCTACTAGTAGCCATCTATCATCCAAAGGTTTCCGCGGCTGTAAAGGCATTGCAAAATTACTTCACACCCCCCTAAAGCTATAGAATACTGTCTCCCAGGAATGGTAAGTATTGTTACGGTTGATCTTGACAGAAAGGAAACTCTTTAGATAGAAATGTATTAGTCTATGTTGGAAGAATGTTGCTGAATTCTTCACGATTAGAATGCAATGTTCACCCAGGAATGTGGTGGAGGGGTTTGAAGCGTCCACAGGTCACAATAGGCTCATAGCAGGTGAGTTGCTACAAGAGGTCGAGAAAACCAACTTTCAGGTCCCTGCTTTCCGCAATATTCTCCTCGTCATGGAGGAGCTCCATACATCACACATAGGACAGTTCCCTAACTTTGCTCTGTTAGTTCCGTTTACTTCGCTAACTTTTTCTGTAACTTAGACGCAAATGGGAGGGGTCTCATGAAATGACAATGTAGTGTGCGCAAAGAAATGCTTTCCCAAAGATCTAACAAGGCTTTGAGATGAGGGCAGTGGCCGCCTCCTCTTCGCTTAGAGGGATGTTCTTGGGAGTGAACACCGAGCCGACCGTGTGTATTCGTGACGGGCATAATTCCGAGTGGGGAATTTTCCTTGCGCATCAATGTCGCCATTCTCAATCCAAGTGGTGTGGATTAATCGTTCGATGATGAGCCAGATGCAGTTAGACTTGATGGGGCTGATGTTGCTGACTGTGATTTCCATTAGGCTAGCAATGATAGAACGAGATAGTTGAATGGCGAATCGAGATGGTGGGCCTCAAGAGATGTTCAAGGACGGCCGTTACGTCAAAGAACCTGGTAGCAGTTAGAGGGAGCGATAATAGGCCCTTCGGCTTAGCAGAAACAGTAGTCAGCACTAGAAAGATCAAAGAACTGGCCTGGAAACATGATGCAGAGCCGGTCTGCACGTGGTGAATCCGTTCGACAACACCGGGAGAGGGCCTCGTCTTTGGAAATGAGCCAGATTCAAGCCACAAACTGTGGCGAGACAGCAATAGACCTGCTCATGGCTGTGGGAAGCGTTGCCGTGAAAAATGTGCAAGCACTAAGCCAATGGACTGATGTGCTGGTCCAGGGGTCACTCCACTTGCTCTGCTCCCATCGAATGATAGAGAAATGGTTGTTGAGCGCGCGGCCTAGCAGATTCAAGACCCGAAAGCGCATGCTGGAGGCGAAGAAGCAACCTTTGGCGAGACCGGGAGGCGATTTTGTCCAGGGCAGTCTATCGATTCAGCCCTGAAGCGATCGTCGGCGGATCGTTGGTCCAGGAGGTGATTTCGAAAATTGCCACCTCGCTCCCGCCTAGATCTGCATCATAACCACAAGATTCCGAGGGGAAGCAGGGGAGCTCGAATTTGCAGCACTCGCTCAGCCCCAGGGCGGCACGGGAATTTGTGAGAAACGGGAAACCGGAAGTGGCATTCTAATCCTGCTTCCCGCAACATGGTAGTGGAACATTGTTGCGGCGCGGTCTTACCTAATAGCGATGAGGCTCGGAGTGTAGTGCAACAATGCTGCTGTGTCTTGTATTTCGATGACCGTCGATGACCGGCGATGAGCTGGCGTCGGGCGTTCACTCAGAGGGATGCCCCAAGCGGAGTGGCTCCAAGCCAAGCTCGTATTCTTGGTCAAGTCGTCTCGCTGGCGGCGTAGACGGGAATGGACGGGAGTGGAAAAGGAGAAAAGGGAGAATTTGCTTCGTTCGCTTCGCTGCTTGAGCTGCGCTAAGAAGCCCCAGACTTCGAAACTCTCCTGGCTCCTTGTTCTTGAAGTTAGCCATGCCCAGCATGGTCAGGGGGAAATGCCGTCCGAAGCCTTGGCAATGAAGCAGGCGGAATGGTGGATGCGCGGAGCACAAAGTCCCTCGCAGTGTAATTACATGGCGAGCAGACAGCATGGCGATTGTGTTATCATCGTAGCGGAGAGGAGCCTCGTAAGTACTCTATGTTGTCCGGCGCTGTATCCTCAAACACGCAGTCCGTAAAGTGGATTGCAGCGGAGGGATTAATTCCTGGCCCAAACGGGAGGCGCGAGACCCCTTTGCGGCGTACAAGGCCCACAGGCGAGGGCGGAAGGGGGTGTCCTCTGCACGCTTTGTGACGCCCAACGGTAGCGGCAGGGCACTTGTGAGTCGCCCTCCCAAAATAGTGCACGCGGAGGTGAGGGATGCACCACTCACACGGCATCATCCAGTGTCGTCAGCGGCCAGCCTGCCAAAAGCAGTCTGGCCACCCTGCGACGATCGAACAGGTCCAGCACGCTTCTGGTGGCCCCAGCGTCCGCGCCGTCGTGCTTGAACAAACTTCCTGCGACCCCCTCTCAGATTCCTTTAAGTGCTCTCCAGGATTCCTCCAGCAGACCGCATTGCTGTGCTACCTCCCTCGTGTGTCGACGCTGCCAACATAATGACCTTAGCCTAACAGTGTCATTCCCTAATCACCCCTCACACTCGTTTACCTTATCAAAACCGCCGTGGAGCTACTATATCGCCCACCGTTTCCTTACCCGCACACGAAAACTGCCAATCGTTTCTTCCAATTCAGCTCCAGTTTCCTTCCAAAAGCGTTACTTCTCTCTCGTTCGGTACCAAGATCAATTCCCTAGCGCTGTGCGACAGCCGTCATCTGCTGGCAAGCGTGCTCTGTATCACTTGACCACCTCCCCACCGCCTTGGGACAGACGCTGCAGTTGGTATCTCCATTGCCTCACCGCTGCAGAGCGAGGCCTCTGGATCAGGGCGCGTGGTTCAAATCCTTGAACCTCCACACACACGCCCACTTCAGACCAGCCGCCACCACGAAAATTTCCTCGTCCATGTCATAGGCCCTCTTATTGATCTTTCATCTCGCCCACCGCTGCTCTTTTGCACACCCTCGAGCAATTTCCACATTACATAGCATCCTCTAATACCCCCAATATGTGGCAACAAGTCTCTATGCTTGCCAGGGCCGTCAACGAAAATGGTGTGCCCGCCATAACGGACCCTTGGGCAACCAAAGATGTGAGAAGCTCCAGCGCTCAGATTGAGATTTGTATCCATGTGTTGACCGTATGTCCAGATTGTCTATGTAGCTATTGTCGGCAGCGTCATGCTTGCTGCTTTGCTCGAATGGTTCCTTTGGTTAGCTGCTTTTCTATATTGTTTGGTCAAAGTCTTCCAGAAGGCCGAGACCATTAGTGTCAGAATTCTGGCGATTATCATGATGATTCTTTTCACGGCTCTCCGGTAAGCAGGCCCCGGTCAGTCCTATGCACGCATCTAATGGCCCTCAGAGCGATTTTTCTTCCCATCATGGTCGTAACCCTTCCGCTGCCGTCGCAGGTTACACAATATTTTCCGACCGCTATGGTTAGCTTTTTGCAATGGTTCGCCTTCTGGTCTTTTGCCGGTCTTCTGACAATTCCGTGGTTGTTCTGCGTTTACCAGCTGGTCACCCACTCTGTTGGACGAAGGAAGCGGATAAAGACGGTGCTGGACGAAGCCTCGGCTCCCAAGGTCGTCATCATCATGCCCTGCTACAAGGAAATTCCCGAGATTCTCCTCCGCACTGTTGACTCGTTAGTTGACTGCGAGTATCCACCGTCATGTCTTCACATCTTCCTCTCTTTTGATGGGGACCAGGAAGATGAGCTGTACCTCAACACCATTGAAAAATTAGGAGTACCTCTTACCCTCGACTCGTACCCCAAGTCTATTGATGTGACCTACCGAAGCTGTCGCATCACAGTCTCTCGATTCCCTCATGGTGGAAAGCGCCACTGCCAGAAGCGAACTTTCAAGCTCATCGACAAGATCTATACCGAGTATCTCAAGCGCAACGATAACCTTTTCGTGCTCTTTATCGATTCCGATTGTATCCTAGACAAAGTCTGCATTCAGAACTTCATGTATGAAATGGAGCTCAAGCCCGGAAGCAAGAAGAATATGTTGGCGATGACTGGCGTGATTACGTCCACAACAGAGAAAAACTCGCTTATCACGCTGTTACAGGATATGGAGTATATCCACGGTCAACTTTTCGAGCGTTCCGTTGAATCTGGTTGCGGAGCCGTCACCTGTCTACCTGGTGCCCTCACAATTCTTCGTTTCTCGGCCTTCCGACGCATGGCTAAATACTACTTCGCTGACAAGGCCGAGCAGTGCGAGGATCTCTTCGACTACGGAAAATGTCATTTGGGCGAAGATCGATGGCTGACCCACTTGTTCATGATTGGTGCAAAGGAACGATACCAAATTCAGATGAATACGGGAGCTTTTTGCAAGACCGAGGCTGTACAATCCTACCGATCCCTCCTCAAGCAACGTCGCCGATGGTTCCTGGGGTTTATCACCAACGAAGTATGCATGTTGACAGACATTCGACTCTGGAAGCGATACACCATCCTTTGTATTGTCCGATTCATGCAGAACACTATTCGTACAACCGCCCTTCTCTTCTTCATTATGGTTATCTCCATCATCACCACATCCCAGAAGGTCAAAAATCTACCGGTGGGCTTCATCGCCATTTCACTTGGCCTGAATTGGGTTCTCATGCTGTACTTTGGTGCCAAACTCGGACGTTACAAAATCATGCTTTACCCCGTCATGTTCGTCATCAACCCCTTCTTCAATTGGGTGTACATGGTTTACGGTATCTTCACTGCGGGTCAGCGGACCTGGGGAGGACCTCGAGCAGATGCCGGATCTGCTGACACCACGACCACACCCCAACAGGCCATTGAGCAAGCCGAAGCCGCCGGTGATGATCTCAATGTTGTTCCTGAGACCTTTAAACCTGCTGTGGAGGCACAGAAGAATCGTCCTGCAGCTGTGCCGCTCCAACCTTCTGACCACTTAGAAGGCCGCTTCGCCCCGGCAGAGAGACAGCCAGGTGGCTGGTACCAACAACCCAACGACTCAGGTCTCACCCTTCCAAACATGCTTCCGCGCAATCCAAATGCACCACACGTCCCACTTCACCCACGCACTTCAATGGACTCTTTCATGTCTGGAACTTCCGCTGGCAACTCGGTCTATCTACCACGTCGCATCGAAAGTATTATGGATCCCGAAGACGCTCGCTTGTATCACAAGACCCAAGCGTCCCAGAAACCTGCTGGTGGCGCGTACTTTGAAACGGATCACCGCCCTAAGCATCCGTATCAGATAAACACAGCCCAGGCTAAATCTCCGTACCATGAATCCGTCGAGTCTCTCTCAGACGACTCCATTTATCAAGGCCATGGGAAGCTCCCGCAGAGACCCCCACACTCACGTGGTAACAGTGACCAGAGCACCCGCTCTCCTAGTCAACATTCTCCAGCTGCTAATTCGCCTCTTTCTGCAGAGTTCGGGCAAGCTGGGTTAGAAGTACCGAAGGCGAGCCACAGTCGAGAAGGCCACCGCGACTCCTCTGGATCCTACACGGCCGCTAATCGCACGGGCCGCAGCCCGCTTGCCCGAGCCAGCTTTGTCCGGACCGCTCCGGGTGAGGAAGTTGGCATCGAGCTCCAGCAGCAACAGCAGAGGAGTTTGATGCGCGATGTTTCACCTGCACCTGTTGTAACCCCGACAGAGCCGGGCCATTCGAGAAGCGAGAGCCGTGATTCTGAGAAGAAGAGGAGAAGGAGACTAACGAAGAATCCTCCTGGTAGTAGCAAATAGGCTTTGTGGTTGTCAAACGGACCATCAATATCGTGTGGTAGCAGTTCTACGTTCCTTAAACTCGTCGCATACGCATACCAAAAATCGGATTTCATTTCACATGTCCCTCGCTGTGCTATCACTGCACTTAGACGTTAAAGAATATTTTCACCACATCCTCGGATTTTCTTCAAGTTTCATCTTGCATAGGGCATTGGCGTTTTTAGAATCGATAACAGGCCTTCATCAACATTCCTTAATGTACTTTAACGGAGGCTGGGTGCAGGTGATTATTGGATGGAACTAACTGGGTTGGGTTGAATTTGGGATGTCATGAGGTTCTTGGGCTTGACACAGGCAGAGATCATGACGGACGCTATTCCTACCTCCAATGATGCGCCGGTATCGGCGCTTATATATAAGTGCTCCGGTATATATGAGACGGAGGCGTGCAACAGCTGGCAAGGGTCAGCAGGGTGAATACTTAATGTTTAGAGTATTGAGATCAGCGATATTATCCCTTTCATTTGCCTTTTGTAGTTGTTCTGTGCATCCTGACATTTTTGGACCTTTGATTCAGTAAAGATTCAGGCAATTTACCCAGCACTGCAAGATCCGTCTCTCGACTACCCTAGAAGCTAAGCGAGCTTTTCTCTCGCGAAAACCTTCACCTTTTGCCCTCCTCATCCTAGTATAGCATAAAATACTCCAAGCTCCACCAGCTCTCTACGGTAGTAGAGTCTGCGGTCGTTATAACAAGCACGTTCACATCCAGCTGCTCTCCTCCACTCTCCCTCCATCGCCCAAACTTCGAGCCAGCATTTCTATTAGTCTGCGGATCACAACAGGAAAGCTGTCTCATTCTGGATCAAATTCAAACTATGTACTAAGTCCGCCAACCTTTTAATTAATCACACGTCTTCATACTCCCAAGGTCATCTTCTACGGTTATTCCAGCAAGCATAGAAGCTGCTGAGCTGTTCTTATCTGCTTCTCCCTCTTATCCTGATTCACGTCTTAGCGCGTCTCTGAAGTCCCGGGTTCTCGTATGCTCAGCTGTAATTGATACTATTCTATCATTTCCAGGTACGTTTGTTTACCATCTTTCCAATATGCATATGAGAGAACAAAAGAGCGTCTGATAATGAACAGAGATATTGACGTAATCTGTGCCCGGAGGAAGATCCGCAAACCGTCCGTGGTGAAGATATCGGGCGCTAGTTAAAGCAGGAAGAGAAGGCAAAAGCAATTCTCGTACTCTAGCTGTTTGTCAAGTCCGCCGCCCCGGTTGACAGCGAGTTGAGGCGTGGCAAGCAGAGCGAGTCACAGTTTTAACGATAACAGAGCGTTTAGAATAAGCGCTTACATTATTCTATACACGTGTTCGTTAGGGAACTATTACATATTATTTGCCCTCGGCCTTTAAAACCTCTTTGTTAATATTTATAATGTAGAGTTTCGGACAGGTGATATGATGTCGCATGTAGGCTAGAAGCAATTCCACGTCGTTATATGCCCAGCTCCCAGCTGGCGCGCCAGCTCTGGGCTCAGAAAGCATAGAACAAGTTTTGGTCTCCTACACTTAAATCATGTATCCAGCAAAGATTCTGAATTAGCCCACTACTCCAGAGCCCGTCTGTAACCATATCTCTAATAACTGTTGATGACAATTGTTGGATGCCGTTGTTGGCAGCAACCTTATCGACTTTTTTAGATACCTCGCATCTGGAGTAAGCTCTAACGAAAACTTGGCATGAACCATACGGATTCTCTTGCCATTTATCATCTCTCTGAGTCTGAAAGTAGGTTTGCTTTAGCAACTGGCTGGGTAACGTGGAGAGTGGCATTTAGGGACAGCTCACCAGAGCTATTCATCAAGCACTCCCAAAATATATGAGAGGCTGAGAAGTGCAGAACTCAAGTCGAAAGAAATCGCTCTTGTACCTTCCAAGCTCCATTATGCAGTGGACCTTGTCCCAAGTCGCTTTCCCACTGTCCACAAGGGCCCGTAGATTCTAGCAGGACATAAGGCACCTTCACCAAGCACATCCCGCAAGACTCAGTTCGTTTGGGCTCATAATGGATACTCCATAGTGTAATCTCTCGCACAGAACAATCTATCAGACCCTCGGGACACTTCGGTTGCACCTATATTGTAAAAATTGTAAGAGAACACTTCGCGCATTGCAGCAGCTTCCCATGTCAGTCCTTGATGTTGCCTTGGGAAGCACAGAGTGAGCCGATCCAATAATATAAGGCGCAGCATATTTGCTTGTGGTGAAGGTTACATCGCGGAAAGCCTTTAGAGAACTTCTAGTGGAAATGCCTGCCCTTAGAAAGTCTTTAGTCCTTCTATTAGAGTACAGTAGCTTCCTGTTTCCCTAGCAAGTGCTTTACATAAGGTAGGGCTAGGAAGTTAATTTGTCCTAATTTTAAAGATGCACAGCTTAGTAATATATGTCTCCTGTCGGTTGACCTGGGTTCGATTGAACGAACGTACGCCCAAGGGGCGTACTAAGAGGTGAGCAGGCAAAGATCTTCTTGTTATTAACTACTGCCCTCTCTCTTTGTACAAAGAAAGAGGGCTCTTAAGTACACATAGCCCCTAACGCACAGGCTAAATAGCTAATATTTTAGGTAACCTAATTTAGCTATACACGTGTACAGACATAGCTATACTTACATACAAACACTAGCAACTTTTTACTTTTATAAAGTTACTTACTTATTTATATGTTAATTTTACTTTTTTTTTTTTTTTTTTTTTACTCTTTTACTTTCTTTTTTAGAGCTAACCCTTAGTGCTTTTTTTATTTATAATATCCCCTAGCTTCTTAGCTTGTGTATAATTTAACCTGCCTTTAGAATAGTGCCTGTGCTTAGCTAGAGCAAGAAGAAGTTCTTGCCTAATTACATAAAAAAGGTTGTTAAAATTATGCGTTGTTTATCTCTTAAAGTTGTTTTACTTTTACAGTGTGTACCTTCCTTTTAGTAGCTTACGCATGTTAAAGAAGATGTACACTGTGTATAAAGCTTATTATTATAGTAGGGGAGAGTCTATATTTATCCTATTATGCAGAAGATCTAAATCCACCTCTCTGCGTAGAATTGTTTTAGACACACGTGTAACCCCTAACAACTCTTTATATAAGGTGTATAGAGACGCTATAACTTAGGGGGGAGTGTAGGTTAATTGCCTTCTGTGCAGGCAATTAATCCCTAGGGGGGGGGAGAGGGGAGGTGTTAGTTAATCGCCTTTTGTGCGGGCAATAGATGTTGGGTCGCAGCGTGTTTAGGCAACGTAGGGGGGGGGGGAGGTATATCGCGGGCTTTTGTATGTGCGATAGATGTTAACTAATTAATCGCCTTTTATGCAGGCAATTAATTAAGAGGGTGTTAACAAGGCAGGCTGCTAATAAGAAGCCTCCTCTGCGTGGCTACGCACGCAGTAGGTTTCTAATCATGCGGCCTGTATTGTCTCCTCTGCGTGGCTACGCACGCAGTAGGCAAGTAGTTGCACAGCCTGTGTTAACAGGAGGCTCTAGGGCGCATAAAGGCTTAGCAGTAAGCCCTCTCTGCGTAGCTACGCACGCAGCAGGTTGCTAATCTTGTCTTTATGCAATTAGTTAATCTAGGGGCGCGCATAAGGCTTACTTACCCCTCTCTATGTGGCTACGCACATAGTGGATGTAAGCTTCTTTGTACCTTCTCTGCGTAGCTACGCACGCAGTAGGTGTGAGCTTCTTGTACAGTAGCAGTTTTATTAATCCTTGCAAATCTGTCTATTAAGGACAATATCCTCTGCGTAGCTACGCACGCAGTAAATAGTCTGTTAATAGACTAATTAGTGTTAGTTAACCTAGGTTTAATTAAACAAATATACGCCTAAGGGGTGTACTAAGAGGTAAGTAGGTAAAGATCTTTTTATTATTAACTACTACTCTTTCTTTTTATACAAAGAAAGAGGGCTCTTAAGTACACATAGCCCCTAACGCACAGGCCAGATAGCCAACGTTTTAGGCAACCTAATTTAGCCGTACGCGTGTACGGACACAGCTGTACTTACGTACAGACATCTCCTATTCTAATTACACAGCTTATATACTATACATGCTTTAATTAAATCTCTAGCAATAAGTTTAGTAGCTTAATTATTTTGTTTTTACAGCATTAACGTACACCACAGGCAAGTTGCTTACACACCTAAGTTGCTTACTTTTGCTAAGACTACACTAAACTACTTTTTCTACACTAATGCATTCCTAACAATAATACTTAAATGTGCTAAAAAAGATGTTAAATATAGCCTATACTTTAGGCTTTTAAACAAAATATAACACTTTTAAAGTAATATGCTATAGCTAATATACTCTATAGGTAAGTTACTTACACACTTAAGTTACTTACTTTTACTAAGACTTTACTAAACTACTTTTTTTACACTAATATATTTCTAATAACACTACTTAGATGTGCTAAAAGAATATTAGATATAGCTTATACTTTAGGCTTTTAAATAAAACATAATATACTTAAAGTAATATGCTATAGCTATATATAATATTCTTTTAGCATGTTTAAGTAGTGTTATTAGAAATACATTAGTATAAGAAAAGTAGTTTAGTAAAGTCTTTACAAAAGTAAGCAACTTAGGTATGTAAGCAACTGTTACAACCTACGATTAGGCTGTAAGCTACCACCTAAAGGTGCCCTACTGTTTAGACAAATCAGTATAGACTCCTTAGGTCACCCCACCTTAAGACACATCACGTGACCTAACAGACGACGAATGGACAGATGCTTAGTCTAATAGGAAATTAACTGTTAAGCGCAATAAGCGTTAATAAGCGCAGATGTGTGTTGTAAGCAACTACGCTTACTTATAATCACCTATAATTAACCCTAGAACATTATGTATATAGCTAATACAGTAGACTATAATAAGAGAGTGTAATTAATAGTTTAGTTTATAAGTTACTATAGACTAAGTAGCATTACTACTTTATAATAAGCGTAATACTATCTGTATATTTTATACTATATATACTTCCTCTTCTATCTTTAGACTGTTTAACCTAGCATCTTATACTACTATTATAAAGGCAAACTATAGTTAGCTGCCCCCTCTCTTATTTATAAGCTAAGTTCGCACAGACTGTACACCTGCTGCTAACCCTGCTTCTTACCCTGTGTTCTCTTACTACTTAGGCCTAGCGTACTACTAGAGAATTCTAGCAGTAAGGATTATAATATTAATTACTACCCTCTCTTTAACAAAGTATAAATTCTATTCTTCTTATTCTTAGAGGCTTACTTATAGCAGGTGCTACTTTATTAGGAAGTAATTTTAACTTAATAGACTCTAAGTTAGAACTTACAAAGTAGGTTGTAAACTTATTAGTTAAATTAAGCTCCCTCTATTATAAGCTTAATAAATAGATAACTATACTTATAAGAAAATCTCTTTGCCTAGCACTTTTAAACTCTTTTATAGGTAATTTAAAAGACTTAAAACCTTTTTTTACACATTACTAGCTTTATATAAGCTATAACTCTAGCGTCTTTTAGCAGAGCAAGGAAATAGTCTAGTAGATAGGCCTACACTTAGAAGGATCCCTAGTAATATAGTTTTAACCCTATGCTAATAACTAGAACTAACACAAAAGAATAGAGATACTACTTAGAAATAAAATAAAAACATGTTAAAAAATGTAAAAGCCTTTAAAGACACCTTAAGAACTATTATAGCTAATAAAATAAACAACTTTTAATAAGAAAAAAAACTATGTAACTTTATACATTCTAGTTCTAAGAACAGCTAGCTATCTATAGTTAGACTAACTAAAAGGCTCTCTATTGCATGTTCTATAAAGAACTTTAAGATTAAATTAAGAATAAATACACTTATATATAAAAACTAAAAGATCTAGAGGACTTTATTAAGTCTGCTACTATTTATAATAACTAACACTAAGAACAAGACTTTAAAAAGAAAAAAAGAGATATAAACTAGAAGTTTCTTTAGCCTTATAAAAGAAGAAAAAGCTTACTTTAGAAGAACTTATAAACCTAAGTAAGCTTAAAGCTACTAAAATAAAAGCTTCTAAATAAAAAGAGCAGACTAGACTACTTTTAATAAAAGAAAAAAAAAGCTTAAAAGAAAAGCCTATCTAAACTATAAAAAAGTAGACTATTTTTATTAAAATTACTTAAACTTTAAGACTTTAAAAAAAATAATAATTTAAAACTAGTAATAAAAGCTATTTACATAAAAAAGGCTTTATAGTAGACAACATCTGCAACAGGCTTACTAGAAGACTTTGTTAGAAGTGTAGTTCTAACTATAAACTAATAAAATGCCCTAGGAATTACTAGAAAGTGTAACGATTCTCATGAATCGTTCCATCTCAGGTCGCCCGGAACCTCCGGAAGGCCCTTGTATCAGCCCCGACCTCGACCTTGTCAGATTGAAGCACTGTTTCTGGGCTTCCTGAGATGAATGATGGGTTTAGATATGATGTATGGGATGATTAATTAATTGTATTAATTGTGTTTATTTATTAATCCTTTTTCTGCTCTACTTGTGTTGCTTGGCTTTTTGTTTTGCTAATCCGAGTCCCTCGCGCACTTGCCCTATGCGCGACCAGCTTGCAAAATGCTGCAATTTTCTGCAATTTGCTGCAAACTGCTGCAACATGCTGCAAAATGCTGCAATTTGCAGCAACATACTGTTCGAGCTTATTGCTCGTACTATGTAGCAGCTTTCGTCAAGCGTTCCTCCTGTCTTGACAGTAGGTGCGCAAATCTGACACACCCCCTCAGCTTAGACATGCTTTAAGCTGGTTCCTAATTGCGCAACCTTAGTATGCTTCTAGGGCTTCTATTCTTGCTTTAATCTCTTCCATATCTGCTTCCTAACTGACTATCCTCTCCCTAACGTTAACTAGCCAAATTTGCTAAAGAAAGCTTAGCCATTTGCTAACTAGAAGCGCTTTAGTAAGTCTGTCTGCAAGCATCTTACTAGAGGGGACATAGACAACCTTAATTGTTTGTTAAGAGACTTCCTGTTAGAGCTAGTAGTTATAGATGTTAACATGTTAGAGCTTAGTTTAAAGTTAAGATATCTCTTTATTTACTAGTTAGATTATCTGCTTGTTGTTGCACTAGATTATAATAGTTAAATTAGGCAGCTTAACCTGCAGTTTATTAAGAAGCATTCTTATAAACATAGCTTCCTTAGCAACTTAGAACAGTGCAAGTAATTTT